CCGATTCATTTCTTGTCAAATATTGGCAAAGCACTGCTCGTTACATAAACTGTGAACAATATAGTGTTTATATAATAATGCATATGTACATGCATAAGAGATCTGAAATTGCATATATGCATACACAAATAGGAAAATACTCCACTGTGCATACATTTAGATGACATGTAATAATGTTTCTGTCTACACTGTAACTATTGTTCATAATTTAATCAAGTTTCATTAAGTTTGGTGCAAAACCTAAAGATTATACAAGGTTTAACTTAATATATTAGTCAGTTTGATTGATGTAAATTGAGATGACTGGAAAAGTTAGGTTTAAGTATAAAGTGAAGTCAGCAAGAAGTTTCACAGTGGAGTTTTTGTCCAGTTATAATAAGAAGAATCAAAATACGTCTCTGCTTTTCTCTTTGCTTTTATTTAAGTCAAATTATTGGTATTTAAGTCCATTTAGATTATTATCATGTTATTTAATGCTCAGAAAATGTGATTATTTGAAAGAAATCACTACTATTTTAATCAGAGAAACCATTAAAACATTTATAATATTTCTAAATATAAAGTTATATATTATATAAGGTTAAGTTATATTAATTTGATATATTATTTCAAATAAGTTATCATTTTTAAATGCTTTTTTAATTCTGGAAATTATTTAAATGCTTTAGAAATATAATATGAAGCAGCATATTTTTATTAAAAATAGTTTTTGACATTAATAATAATAATAATTATAAATGTTGCTTAATTCAAACTATTGTGTTAATTATTAATCAAGTGATGCTGAAAACTGAAGAAATTATGCTGATTATTCAGCTTCAGATCATATAAATACATTTTAAATAAACTAAATAAATAAAAAAATAAATGAACTTTTGTGGAAAAAAGCAAAGAAAAAAGAAAAAGTGGATTTCAATAGAAAGTTTGTTATTTTAAATTGTAATGATTGCTTTTTGCTGTATTTTTTAATGTGTCAAAGTTTAATATACGTGTTGCATGTGTAAGGACTTCACCAGACTTGTGATTAAAGTGTGCATGTGTGTGTGTGTATTTGCTGTAATTTGTGTGTGTGTGTTGTTGTGTTTCAGACCCTCAGTGGTATCCGGCTCGACAGTCCATCCGCTTGGATCCCAGTATGTGTTGAATTATTCCTCCTCATGACTTTAAAATCTCCACTCTGTGTCTGAACTGAGTGTAGTTCAGTTTGTTTACGGTTAACTTGAGAAGATATTCCTGCTGTTCTTGCAGTTTTATGATGAAGTATTTTGTAGAAAGGTTTACTGTGATGCAGCTTTATATAACACAAATATAAGATTATCTAGTGTCTCATATTGATTTTCGATGTTAAAGTATAAGCACAGTCCTGTTATACTCACCGTTTATGCACTTTTAAGTGGTTTTAAACCTGACTCACACAAAAGGAAATAGTTTGAAGAATGTTTGAGAGCAGCAGCCATTGAAAAAAACATACTATGGAAGTCAATGGTTACAGGTTTCTAACTTTCTCAAAATGTTTTCTTTTGTGTTCATCAGAAGTAAACACACACACACACACACACACACACACTGGTTCGGGACCACCTGAGTGTGAGTAAATGCTGACAGAATTTCAGTTTCCGCTGAACTTTCACTTTACACCTGTAAGAAGGGGTAAATATGAAGGATTATTATTATCCTCATGGGTGTCTGTTGGGTTAAGGTTTGCTGATGTGCATGTGTGTTTGTGTGTTGCAGAGGGTAAATCTCTGAAGGATGAGGATGTGCTGCAGCATCTGCCTGTAGGAACCACTGCAACCTTCTACTTCAGAGACCTGGGGGCGCAGATCAGCTGGGTCACGGTGAGAACACACACACGCAAACACATACACACACACACACACACACACACACACACACACATACACAGAAAACACAGAGAAAAGAGAGAGAGTGAGAACACACACACACACTGAGAGAGAACACACACTGACACAAATTTACAGATCACACACAGAGATATTACACACACACACACACACACACAGAAAAGAGAGAGAGTGAGAACACACACACACACTGAGAGAGAACACACACTGACACAAATTTACAGATCACACACAGAGATATTACACACACACACACAGAGAGAACACACATACACACAGAGGGAGAGAGAACACGCACACACATACTTACAAACACATAGAGAGATCATACACACACACACACACACATACAGAAAGAAAGAGGAACACGTGTATATTCAAACACACATTCTACCTATGCGTGCACACACACACACTCCGACACACACATTCACAGAGAAAGACCACACACACACATTCTGTCTGACATGCTCACACATACACTGACACACAGACAAACACAAATAGAAAGAGAACACACACACACACACTGTGTAGATCTCCCCATTACGAATAGGTTTTCGTCTGATGTTACACACACAGAGGAAGAGAAAACACGCACACACACATTCACACAGATAGAGAGATCATACACACACACAGAAGGAGAGGGAGAACATGTGTACGTTCAGACACACATTTACAGAGAAAGACCACACACACACATTCTCTCTGACATGCTCACACACACACACACAAACAAATACAGTTAAAAAGAGAACACACACACATACACACACACAGTGCAGATTTCCTCATCAGGAATAGGTTTTCATCTGATGTTACACACAGAGGAAGAGAAAACACACACACACACAGAAACAGAGAGGGAGAACACGTGTATTGTCATAAACACATTCTCACTAACGTGCATGCACACACACTCTGACTCACAAATTCACAGAGAAAGACCTCACACACACATTCTCTCTTTGACATGCTCACACATACACTGACACACAGACAATACAAATAGAAAGAGAACACAAACACACACACACACGCAAACAGAGTGCAGATTTCCTCATAAGGAATACATTTCGATCTGATATTACACACAGAGGCGGAGAAAACACACACGCACACACTCGTATATGGACGCATACACACTGACGCACAAATAAAGATCATACACGCACCAAACACACAGTAAGAGAGAGGAAGAACATGCATACATTCAGGCATGTGTTCTCACTAACATGTGCACTCACAGAGAAAGACCGCACACACACACATTCCCTCTGACATGCTTACACATACAGAGACACACAGAGTAGGAGAACACACACGCACACACATAGTGCAGATGTCCTCATAAGGAGCAGTTGTTCATCAGATGGTACACACTGAGGGGGGATTCACTGACTTCATTATATGTGCTCGTAATGAAAACATGACCTGACACACAATAACTGAAACATCATCAGCATCCTCCGTTACTTCCCTCAGTAGTGTGCGTTTAGTGTGTGTTTATCAGGCTGTGTGTTAATCTGTCCCTCTTAACGGCTCCGTTTAGTGTCTGTCACATTATCTCTGTGAGAGCTGGAGATATTAATAACCAGGAAACGTGGAGGTGTTCCTGACAGCGCAGGAGCTCAGCACATTACAGATCAGGAACGGGGTATGATCAGGCAGCAGAGTCGATTAGCAAAGAGAATCGATTCCTTGATGCAGAGTCATAAAAGGTCTGGGAGTAGAATACATTTAAGAATCTATTCCTTGATTCAGAGTCATTACAATGAATCGATTCCTTGATTCAGAGTCATTAAAAGTCTGGAAGTCGATTGCAGAAAGAATCGATTCCTTTATTCAGAGTTTTTAAAGGCCTGGGAGTCAAATACAAAAAATAATTGATTTCTTGATTCAAAGTCATTAAAAACAATTGATTCCCCAATTCAGAGTCATCAAAGGCCTGGAAGTCGAAAAATATTTGATTCTTTGATTATGATTTAGTAAAGACCTGGTAATTGATTGCAAAATAATTGATTCCTTTATTCAGAGTCTTTAAAGGTTTGGGAGTTGATTACAAAAAAAAAAAATTATTTCTTGATTTAGGGTCATTAAAGGTCTGGGAGTCGAATACAAACAGATTTGATTCCTTGATTCAGAATCATTTAAAAGCCAGGGAGTCGATTACAAAGAATGCCAGAGTCATTAAAGGCCTGGGAGTCTATTATAAAAATAATTCATTCCTTGATTCAGAGTCACTAAAAAGAATTGATTCCTTAATTCAGAATCATTTAAGGCCTGCCCAACAAACACACAACGTTGCCTCAACGTAGCGACCTTCCTACAACGTTGTATCAACATTGCAAAAAGGTTGAGGATTCTACGTTGTTGCTAAAGGTTGTCACAACGATGTCATAAGGTTGCCATTTAAACATCATGAGGGTCGCATGCTTTAGGTTGTGCTTAGGTTGCGTGGACGACCACTGTACAACATTTACTGGTCACAGCTGAATCAGTTTAAATTTCAACAAGCCGTCGTCTCATTCATCAACGACCGAGGAGACGTGAGTATTGTTTTATTTCTTCTTGCTAAATAAGATACGTAAATCGTGAATATTCAAACAAACCTACGATTTCGACAACAATCTGTTCCAACATCACATGTTAAATCTCTCGATAAAACATTTCCTGATTATTTACCTACGCCTTGTCTTTAATCAAATGGACAATAATGTTTTTGAAGTTCAGTTTTTTCCATATCCGTCGTGATCAGTTAGTATGATACTTCATCACACAAGCCGACCCACTTTTTACAAAACACACAAAATAACTTTTAAAAACAAAACATCTCTGTGCAGATTGCGTCCCGTTAAAGGAACAGTTCACTCAAAAATGATATGTACTCACGAATTATTTGCCCTGTAAATAATAATTGATTCCAAACCTTTAAGTTTCTTTATTCTGTTGAACACTAAAGACTGTAAGCATTTGCTTTCATAGTAGGAAAACACTATGGAATTAAATAGTTACAGTTTTCCAGCTTTATTTAACATATCTTCTTTATTGTTTAGCAGAAAAAAAGCTAAATAAGTTTGCAACAAATAAAGGATGAGGCTAAAATGGCAGAATTGTCAGTTTTGGGTGAGCTATCCCTATAAGTTAAAGTATATAAATTAATGTTCATATGCCTAATTAATATAGATAGTAATTAAAAGGTCTGCTAGTCTAAATTTCTATTTTGATTGGTCTTTTGATGTTTTATTTAAAACCCACTCTTTTCTTTACTCAACAGGCTATTTTTACATGGAGGTAATCTTCTATTGATAATTTCTGGATTTTAATTATGCGTAAGTTGCATAAAACTCTATTGTTTAACCACTCACTGTTGTTTTCAAATTACTCGTGTAACTTGTCTTTCAGAATGTTTTCAGCTGTTGAATTCACCTCAGATCAGTGTTGCTGTAATTCCTGATCTATGGAAAGAAGAATTGGATGAGGTAAGAAGTATACTACTCTATTTACTATTAAATGTAGTTATGTTACCTAAAACAGCATGTCCATAATGTGGAAAATAGATCATGCTTATGAAAAATTACTTTATTATTTTGTACAGCTGTTATTGAAATGACACTAAGTTTAACATTCCATTTACAGTGAGCAACACCCCAACTACAGGACCTGTTCTTTCTCTTGTCATAATTTAAATAAGTATTCGGAGACTAACTCTGACTTCTGTTAACTTAAACCTGTTTTCCCTGTAACTCTAAATTTATTTAATTGTATGTAATTTTGGTATATGATATATTATTAAAACATTAAAATAAAGTAGGCTACATAATTACTCTGGAGATTTTATATGTAATGAAATTACAATAAATGTCTGAAACTTCAATAACTTGCTAGTCATAGTCATTTCCTGTGTACTGCTGTTGTGTCAAGCTCTGATCTGTCCTCTCTTGTTCACTGCCTATTTTGACTTGTGTCTGCTGTGGATCTCTGAAGCTGGATTATCTGTTGAATTTGTTTCTTCCTCTGACTGCTTTCTGCATACCAACAACTGGTCTCCCTGGTCTTCAGCTGCGCTCCCCGGTCTGCTGTATTTTCCAGTCCAGAGCTTCACTGCCCAGTGTCGGAATTTTAATTTATATATTTATTTATATATTTATTTACATTTTAATGATTTCTTGTTTACTTTTCTTGTTTGTTTACCCTTTAGTTTAATTATATATATATATATATATATATATATATATATATATATATATATATATATATATATATATATATATATATATATAATCTAAACTTTATTTTATACTGTTTGCTTATAATTAGATACTGTATGCGTACTGTATGTATTAAATGTTGTGAAATATATAATAAAAAGTTTGATTATATTCATTTGTGTGGCATTTTTACACTTTAAAGTATAAACATGCAATTGTTAAATTAAATAGGAAAAATAAATGAATAATATTTCATATTTAGCAATACTGGAAAAGAATTGCTGCTTATCCTGTATTCTAGGCAGTATTGATAAACTGCCAGAAAAAATCTTAATACAAGTAGTAAGAACGCCGCCTCGCGGTTGCTGAATGTCGCACGACAACGTTGCTACAGCCTTCTCACGTCTTACATTTCTACGTTGTGACAATGTAGCGAGCACGTAAGAGACAACGTTGCCTTTGAAAAAATACAACGTTGTGCAGACATCGCTACAACGTATATGTGTTTGTTGGGTGGTTGTCGATTGCAAAAAAGAATTGATTCCTTGTTTCAGAGTCATTAAAAGCCCGGGAGTCGATTACAAATAGGAATTGATTCCTTTATTCAGAGCCATTAAAGGACTGGGAGTCAATTGCAAAAAACGTGTACATTTTTTGATTCAGAATCATTAAAACTGTTATGATTTCTTGATTTAGAGTCATTAAAGGCCTGGGAGTCAATTATTAAAAAAAATAATCGATTACTTTATTCAGGGTCATTGAATGCATGGGAGTCGATTACAAAAAAGATTTAATTTCTTAATTCAGAGTCATTAAAAAAGTATTGATTCCTCGATTCAGAGTTATTAAAGGCCTGGGAGTTGATTACCAAAAAAGAATTGATTCCTTGATTCAGAGAAATTAAAGGCCTGGGATTCGAATACAAAAAAAAGAATCAATTCCTTGATTCAGACTCATTAAAGGCCCGGGAGTCGATTACAAAAAAATGATTCTTTAATTCAGACCCATTAAAGGCCTGGGGTTTAATTAAAAAAAAAAAAAAAAAAAAAAGGATTGATTCCTTGATTAAGAGCCATTAAAGGCTTGGGAGTTGGTTACAAAAAAAATTATTCTATTATTAAGAGTCATTTAAGGCCTGGCAGTCGAATACAAAAAGATTTGATTCTTTGATTCAGAGTCATTAAAGACCTGGGTGTTGATCACAAAAAGAATCGATTCCTTTATTTTGAGTCATTCATAATTCAGTTCAATAGAAACGAATCGATTCTAAAGCTTAGAATTGACTCATTTAAGCAGAATCGACTTCTATAGTTAGTCTACATAACAGGCTTACATTTCTGCAAACAGATTTATATGGTTCATTCAATGCTAGTTGCAGGAGATGTTAATTTTATCTAGTTTACTTCTGGAGGGTTTTGAATAGAAAGAATCAAAAAAAAAGAATTGCAACGGCAGTGAGCAATCAAATCTTTGAATCAGTTCTAGTACAAGGGAACCAGGAGTCAAACATTTCTAGTTGTGAAGCTTGTGTTCTGCTGTTTTTCTGTCTCTCAGGTGTTTCTGACGGAGTACGCCGGCCCTCTGCTCATATATCTGATGTTTTACTTCCGAGTGCCCTTCATTTATGCACCCAAATACGACTTCACCACCAGCAAACACTGGGTCGTACAGTAAGTCATTGAAGCAGTCATGAAATGCTTCAGTTTTATTTTATTTTGCACTGTTCTCTGAGGTTATCAAGTAATCGAGATGTTTACTGTTCATGATTTAGAAGTAATTGCTATTTTTTTGTGCCGTTTTTAATTATCATCAGAATGATTGAGTGGACGTGGCTAATTGTAGACTCAGAAGTAAGCACCCACTGCTCTGATTGGCTGGTAGTTTTGCATATTAACAAGTCTAAACTGGCAGTGAAGTAAAAGTGGGATATTCTCTGGAGGCGGAGCTTATCCTAACTATTACATCATAGAGTAGAACATTCCAGAAGCTGTCAATTATTCAGACTGCCTTCAATATGAGCTGATTTCTGAGGAACCGCAAGGTGTTGAGTTTCAAAACTTACAGGATGTTTTTAAAGCACTATTATCTTTTATATGGCAAAAGAATAAAGGAGATTTGTTTTTATAGTTAATGACCTGTATATTCGTTTATAGCGAAAAACATGCCTATACAATTCATATGGGAAAAAAGTGGCATTTAGCAATGAAAAGAAAACATTGACTGTGATTGGTTTCAAAGGGCTGATGGGTAATTGAGTGTTCTTGTTCCTGTAGTTTGGCCTGTATGTGTCACTCCTTTCACTACGTGAAGAGGCTTCTGGAAACACTTTTCGTCCATCGCTTCTCACATGGGACTATGCCTCTCCGCAACATCTTTAAGGTCAGAGAAACCTATGAAATTCAGACATGTCGCTGTATTAGTGAGATGGTAAAAGGATCTTTTACCTATGAATTAAAACATCTTCATAATTTACTTTTCTTTTGTTGAACACAAAAGAGAAAGTGTATAATAATACAAAGAGAGACATGACAAGTCCATCTTCAAACGTTGTAAAATAAAAACCAATTATCAAAAAAGCAGTTGAGGGCTTAAAATAATGTATTATTTTTTTATTTTAATATATATTTTCTCCTTTAAAGTATGAAGGTAGTGAGACATTTCTGTCTTAAAATGAGTAAAGCTTGTTTTTTAACTGGCCAATTGCACTCATCAATAAAACATTTTCCATAAATAAAAGTAACTTCACAGTATACCAAACACGAGTATTTGTTAAAAAAAATAAAATAAAAAATGAAATATATATATATATATATATATATATATATATATATATATATATATATATATATATATATATATATATATATATATATATATATATATATATATATGTATATATGTATGTATATATGTATATATGTATGTATATATGTATGTATATATGTGTGTGTGTGTGTGTGTGTGTGTGTGTGTGTGTGTGTGTGTGTGTGTGTGCGTGTGTGTGCGTGTGTGTGCGTGTGTGTATATATATATATATATATTGAGCTGCTGGTCAGTCTTGGTCCTTTGTTTCACACAAAAAGTCAAATCACACCAAAATAGATTGTCATAAATACAGTCATAAAATAAATGCACGATGCTTTCATCTTCCTAATTACAGAAACACTCTTTAAAGCAATGTCTTTGTGGCTGATAACTGTTTATCCACAAGTTTACCAGTATTTTTCTTCTGTTGAACACAAATGAAGATATACTGCAAATGCTAGAAAAAGGCAACTATTGACATGCAAACAGGAACAAAAAAATACTGTGGAAGTCAAAGGCTGTTTTTCCAGCATTCTTCAGTTTACAGTGTTTCTGCAAAGTTCACAGAGTTAAATTTAAGACTTTTAAAGACATTTTTAAGTCCATTATGAATGAAATTTTAGACCCATAAAGAGCTAAAGGCTAAGGAATTTTTCAAATGGCCCAGATGGAAAAGATTTTTATTTGCCCTATCAAAAAACTGTAATAAATTTAATAATACAATATTAATAATAATAAAAATATGTATATTTTAGATTGTATTTCTTAGCTAAATATTTTAAATAGTGTATAAAAACAAGTAAGCTTTACTTGTGCACTTTTCCCCGACACAAACTTTCTTTAAAATAATAAAAAAAAATGAACAATGTTTTAAAAACTTTAATAAACTAAATCTATGCACAATAATCTGTCAAGGTTGGTGTCCCAGCAGTAAATACATGGAGAATACAAATACATTTTAAACAAATGAGTTAAAAATGACCTTTTAAATAAAAAGTATAAAGTTTTATTGAGAGGATTGTTGGTTATTGTATGGGTTTTGGCCAGATTTGGTAGCAATACATGAACAAAGAAAAAATTAAGACCCGATTAAAAAAAAAGATTTAAGACCAACAACACAATATTTCAGTAAATTTAAGACGTATTCCCCCAGTTTCACAAACAAGGTTTAAGGTTAGTCAAGATTAAATTGCATGTTTGAGCTGTCTAAACTCAAAATAACTTGTGGTGAGATGTCTTAAAAATATTACTGGTGTGCACCTGGAGAATGACACTGACACATTTTAAGACTATTTTTATAAATGCATCTAAAATAGCCTTATTTAATAAAGGCCTAGCTCTAGCTTAATCTAAGCCCTGTTTGTGAAACTGCGCCTTTAAGGCCTAAAATTTAGATTTTGAGATTTAAGACTTTTTAAGACTGTGCAGGAACCCTGGTTTATCATCATGAGTGTTCAACAGAAGAGAGAAACTTAATCTGGTTTTGTAAAAAGTGGAGGATGAGCAAATGATGACAGATTCAATATTTTTAGAGTGAACTGTGCCTTTAATTGGAGCTGTGTCTTTCTGTTCTGCCTATGTCAGAGTGTTTTTAGAGGAGTATATTGTTGTATGTTTGTGATGTTATACAGTTGAAGTCAGAATTATTAGCCCCCTAAATTATAAGACCGCATGTTTATTTTTTTCCCCAATTTCTGTTTAACTTAGAGAAGAATTTTTTCAGCACATTTCTAAACACAATCATTTTAATAACTGATTTCTAATAACTGATTGATTTCATCTTTACCATGATGACTTTAAATAATATTTTGCTAGATATTTTTCAAGACACTTCTATACAGCTTAAAGTGACATTTAAAGGCTTAACTAGGTTAATTAAGTTAACTAGGCAGGTTAGGGTAATTAGGCAACTTATTGAATAACAGTGGTTTGTTCTGTAGATTATCAAGAAAAAATATAGTTTAAAGGAGCTAATAATTTTGTCCCTAAAATGGTTCATAAAAAATTAAAAACTGCTTTTAATCTAGCTGAAATAAAACAAATAAGACTTTCTCCAGAAGAAAAAATATTATCAGACATACTGTGAAAATTTCCTTGCTCTGTTAAACATCATTTGGAAAATATTTAAAAAAGAAGAAAAAAAAATCGAAGGGGGCTAATAATTCTGACTTCAGCTGTATATGCATTTGCTTGTGTGTTTTGCAGAACTGTACATACTACTGGGGCTTTGCAGCTTGGATGGCCTATTATATCAACCACCCGCTCTACACACCGCCCAGTGAGTCAAACTCATATTCATTCAGCACCAGAAATCAATGTTGTTTTAAACTACATGTGAATGGAAATAGTGTGTTTTAAATTGCAATAATATTTCACTGCTTTAATTAAGACTGAGCAATACTGGGAAAATATGCAAGATAGCATTTCCCTAGAGAAAATATATTTTTATTTGCCTTTTTAAATATTATTTGGATACTTTGCTTATGTAATGATCAATACTAAAATAAACATTCATTGGTAACACTTTACAATAAGGTTAATTAGTTAATGCATTTACTAACATGAACTAATCATGAACAACACATGTACAGCATTTATTAATCATAATTTAACATTTACTAATGCATTATTAACATTCAAGTTCATGCTTGTTAAAATTAGTTAATGCACCATGAGTTAACATGAGTTAACAATGAACTACTGTATTTTCGTCAACTAATGTTTATTAACATTAATAAATACTGTAGTAAATGTATTGTTCATTGTTTGTTCATGTTAGTAAATGCATTACTCAACATTAACTAATGAACCTTATTGTAAAGTGTGACCCATTCATTCATTCATTTTCCTTCAGCTTAGTCCCTTTATACATCAGGGGTCGCCACAGTGGAATGAACCGCCTATTTATCCAGCATATGTTTTACACAGCGGATGCCCTTTCACTAAATGAAACTGATAATAGTTAATATCTTTCTATATTAATATTCATTTCTGATCTAAAAAAGCTGTTCACATGCAAACATTAAGACACTACGAATGAATGAAAACTTGGGCAGATACTCTGACTCTGATTGGCTGTTGTTATTTTCTTCTCTTGTCATGACTCCGCCTATTAGTGTTTATTTTCAGCTTTTGGTTCACCTGCTAGCCAATAGCAGAACAGCACTTACTGTGTAGGCGGGAATAAAGTTAGTAAGGCCCCATCTAATTGGTCAAATTTGCGTAGTCAGTGTAATATAGCAATAACATTTAACAGCACTGTGCATCCTAAGTTTGGCCCAGAAATTTAATTTCAATGCTTAAAATAAAAGTTTTTAATAATAAAAGTTAATAATTAAAGTTATTTATTGCACCTCACAGCGATCTAAATACTGCATATACCATTATCACGATAACAATACTTTATTGATGTATTGTGCAGCCCTAGTTTTAATATTTAAGTGTATTTTTCCAATACAGTACATTCAAACAAATGCATCTTTGATTGATTTAATTAATTTATTTATTAATTTTTGTTGTTTTGCCAGTGTATAGTTTATATTTTATATTTTCAGATTAATTTATTGACTATTAGCACATCCTCGAGGAGATTAGGTTTCTTTTTTTCCTGTTAAAAACAGGGGAAATATTCAGAAGAATTTTGGAAACTGTAACCATTGAAAACAAATGCTATGGATGTCAACAGCTGCTGTTTCCAACCTTCCTCAGAATATCATCCAATATATTCCATTACTTTCTTTTAAAACAGCATTTATATTTGGATTAATGTATGAATTACACAGTCTGACGGTGTTAAGTAAGAGTAGGTTGTGTGTTGTTGAGGTGTGTTCAGCCTCTGGTGTTTGTGTTTCAGTCTATGGAGAGCAGCAGATCAGACTGGCCCTCACTGTGTTTCTGGTAAGATCAGCTTGTAAATGTGTTTCACACACTCTCCATTTGCAGTGTTTATTTATTCCATGTCCATGTTCACAGATTAGAGCTCTATTTGCTTAGGAAAAAGTCAAATTTAAGTGAGTTTCTGTGTGAAAAATATGAACAGAACAAAGAAAATACACATATTTGAGGTTATTTAGCTTGTTGTAAAGGGGCCGTTCACCCAAAACTGGATTTTTTTCATTTGTTTACCCTTGACTTGTTCCAAATCTGTGTTTCTTTCTTCCGTTGAACGCTAAAGAAGATATTTTGAAGAATGTTGAAAACCTGTAACCATTGGCTTCCATTGTATTTGTTTTTCCTACTATGGGAGTCAATGGTTCTGCTATCTTCAAGATATCTTTAGTGTTCGACAGAAGAAAGAAACTCATAAAGGTTTGGAACCACTTGTAATAGTAGGTAAATTTTAATGTTTGGGTGAGAATCTTTAAATGTTTGACTTTTGTATATTTTTTTGAAAACAAGATCAGAGTTTTTAATTGCCTTGAATGTTTCATGATTTAGATATTTTTTAATTATTATTTTTTAATTATTTTAATAATAAGATCTCTCTTTTGGTCCACAGTTCTGTCAGATTGGAAACTTCTCCATCCACATCGCCTTGAGGAATCTCCGACCACCCGGTAAATCACACTGGCATCTCATTATAAATCAAATAAAATAATCATGTCAATCCAAAATTCATGTCATTGTAAAATGATGTTTTACTTTACTAGTGCCCCTTGTTATTCTTTGACATAATTATTCTGTACAAGCTAATCCACTGAAATATATGCCAGGCCCCTCTTGCCATTAATTTGCACAGGGAATGACGCACAAAAAGAAAGCCCCGCCCTCTACTCAATATTCACTCTCAGTTGGAAGTACATCAACATACTGAAATAAAAGCCTCAAGAACTTCCGTTTCACTTGGACTTTAATACTTTTATATTATGCTGTCTATAAGATTTCTTGATTCACGTGATTTCATAAATTCTTCTGTTGTGGTTATTCTCTCTTCTGCAGGCTCTAAGACTAGAAAGATCCCGTACCCGACTAAAAACCCCTTCACCTGGATCTTCCTGCTGGTTTCCTGCCCCAATTACACATATGAGGTCAGAAAGACACTTCCATTCACAGAAAATAAACTTTTGTCATCATTTACACCAGGGGCTCTCAAATTTTTCAGCCCGAGACCCCCAAAATTACAATGCCAGTGACTAGTGACCCCCAGTGAGAGGTCTGCATTCTCGCGGCTGTACCCCTAGGAGCCGACCAGATTTCTGTGCACGGGAATAAATTTCCAAATAAAGCGCAGGAGCGGTCGGTAACTGGTTAAATTTTGGACGAGAGCGGGCAGTCTAACAATATCGCTCCCGACTCCCGAGCGAGCAAGGACGCTCGCTTGTTGCTCGTTGTATGTATGTGTGTGAATGAGACAGCGTGATGCTGCTTTTAACGTGTTTGTTGTGCAAATGAGAGAGGTGTGTGTGTGTGTGTGTGTGTGTGTGTGTGTGTGTGTGTGTGTGTGTGTGTGTGTGAATGAGAGAGAGAGTGTGATGCCTATGTGTGTGTGTGTCACTTGCTTTGTGTTTGTGTGTGTTTTTGTGACATATCAGGACAGAAATCTGTATAATGACATGGGTATGACACGGGTATTACAAAAAGGAGGTGAAATATGAGGACATTGATGACGTCCTCATTTCTCAAAATGCTTATAAATCCAACAGAATGAGTTTAATCAGTGAGTAAAGCTGCACACAGTCTCCTGTGATGGGGTTTAGGGGTTTGGACAGTATAAAATGAATGGAAACCTATGTAATGTCCCCACTTTTCACAAAAACAAACATGTGTGTGTGTGTGTGCGTGTTTATACAGACAGCTTGTTAAGGCTGATTTATACTTCTGCGTCAAACGGCGGCGTATGCTACGGCGCTGATGCATAGCCCTTCGCTGTGGCCATAGGCGTCACTGACGTGCGCCTCTCAAAAAATGTAACTACACGTCGCAACGACGCGTAGCGTAAGCTCTGTGATTGGTCAACTTGGTAGCGCTGACGAGTCTGGGCGGGACAGAGAGCCGCGCGAATGGCGCAAGCGATACAAGTGTGGAGTCCCGTTAAGGAGCTCCGGATGGAAAGTTTTGTTTTGTGTTTACCTCATAGTTAAAGTTGCTGCACGTCCGCCGGTTCCTGCCTCAAAATGAGCGAGTTTGAGCCACTTGTACATCCTGGAAGTGTTCAGGAAAAGCAATAAAGCAGCAAAGAAACTCAACACAGAGGAACATTTACACCTCACTGCCAACTAGCGTTTCGGAAGTGTTAATGCAGACCGACAGAGACAGCGCGCAGAAGTATAAATGCACAGCCACGCGCATTGCATGCGCCATGGGTTACGCCGGTCACCTGACGCAGAAGTATAAATCAGGCTTTATAGTCTATCTGGACTCTGAGTAGCTGGGTGGTTTTTGCTTTTGTCCCCTCCCCCTCCGCTTGTTAGCGGAAATGGGCGTGGCGGATAGAAAACAGGGCGGGTCGGGCAGTGGGACAACAAATGCTGAATATAAGCGGGAGCGGTCAGGTTCGGACTAAAACCTGGCGGGAGCGGGATTCAAAATTTTGTCCCACACAGATCTCTACCCCCAATATCCTCAGATGTGGTTATAAATATTCAAACACAGCGGCGCACATTTACCAATAGGCCCAGGTGTATTCATCATTTAATTTTGCAGAACGCCACTCAGAGACTATCCTCAATGTTCAGTCGTGGCCTGTATTTTTGTTTAATGTACAAACACTCCCCCACCCCCCACCACCGGGAAAGTCTTTGGGTAAATCTTTTTTTTTTTTTCTGTTTTCAGTGTGGTATTTACAGTCTTTATACTCTGTTTTTCAGCTGGGCTCATGGCTGGGCTTCACCCTGATGACGCAGTGTTTGCCGGTGGCCTTCTTCACTCTGGTGGGCTTCATTCAGATGACAGTGTGGGCCAAAGGAAAGCACCGCAGCTACCTGAAGGAGTTTCGAGATTACCCCACGCTCCGCTCGCCCATCCTGCCCTTCATCCTGTAGAAGAGAGAGCGTCCCGCAGTGTTTTAACCCCCCATCAGCTCTCTTTTATAGCTCTGACACACTGATTCCCCGTAACAGTCAGATCCACAGGCTCCACATCGCCCCCTGTGGGTTGCGTCTACAAATATCCACATTTTTTCCACAAATCAAACACACAAGGGTTTGTTATTTTTTTTGCATTGTACAATTTTCATTAGTGATGTAACATTGAGTTGTGTGCTGACATGCGCATGCAGATTATTCCTGCTGATTGTAATTAAACACTTATAGCCGGATAGTGTGATTTGCAGCAATGCATGCTGGGTGGAAAGTAACTAAGCATTAAAAATAGCTTCTTGTGGCGGATACAGGAAAATGAAGGAACCTGCTGGTGTTGAAAGTGCTTTATAAATAAATTGAGTTGTTGAAGGAAATACGAAGCAGCAAATATGAAACCTTATTTACTATCGTCTGTTTCTAGTTTGCATCATGGCTCCAGTGATTATACAAGTTCTGTAGGCATTAAATATTGCCTGCTCACTTTTCATCTTGTAGTTTCCTTTTTCTTGCATTCTGATAATGAAATTTGTGGAGAAAGTGTTTTTCATGAAACAATCGCTTACAACAGTTGCACTGGTCTTGTATTTAATCATGTGCTGCTGATCATTAGGCTGTCATTTTCCCTGGAGCTCTCCTCGTCTTGATGTTTACCAGAAAAAGACACTTTAAAACCGGTCAGACATACATCTGCAGATTCTCCTGCTTTGCAGTTTGTCTGTTCTGTTTACGGGTCTTTATTTTTAAGCTCTTTCATGCACTGATTATTGATGGCTTTAAGTTCAGTATTGATTTTTGATGATATTATAATCATCATGGGGAATCTTGTGGAAACTGCCACAACAGATCTTGTTCACAAATTAAGCACACACCACAATGCTTTCTCACGGTTTTTGTTGTCTAAATCTAAAAATTATATCACGAAACATGTGGCTAATTAATATATATATATATATACACACACATACAACAGTTCTGTCTGGTTCTCGAACCTGATTGGCTAGTAGCCGTGATATAAGTAATATCAGCATCCGTACAGCCTCTTTACCCTTTGTGTATTACTCCGCCCACATACAGCCAGCAGAAAGCAGACACTACAGATCTAAAGTTTAAAAGATGCTCAGCTGTGTAACTGTCAGCTTATGATTTGAATCCAACGCGGAAGAAAGTAGTTCCTCATACAAAAGGGTTTTTGAGACTCCATGTTTGATTTTGTTTTTATATACACAATTATGCCGTCAAACTGTTGTATAAACGCAATATCACATGAGTAGCAGTGCGATATGCCTGTATATTGGCACTGGTGGGAGGCATGTGTTGGCGTTGGTTTGCGTTTATACAACAGTTTGATGGCATAATTATATAAATATAATATATAGATTCTTGAGATGCTTCTTGATATAATTTAAAGGCAAAAATGCTTCTTGATATAATAATTTCTGCAGTTTTGAGGGAAAAACCAAGCTAAATCTAATAGGGAAAGTAAAAAAAAAAACAAGTTTTCAGTTTGAAATGAGGTTATTTTGATTGTTTTATGAGAAAATCAGATTTATTTTGCACTAAATGTTTTTTTTTTGTTTTGTTTTTTTTGAATGATTTAGAAAATGCTTTTGATTTGTGAAATATTTAGTTATTTAAATTAGAATCAAAACAAAAAATCTCAAAAAAAAAAAAAGGCATTTAATGCATTTTCAGACCATAAAGATTTTGCATTATCACATTTTATATAATATTAGTAACTGGCATTGAAAAAAAGGTGATGATGCCTCCTGCTGATTGTACTGAAAATTGTTTCTGCAGTGTGATTACGCCAACAAAGCAGATTATTTTTCACCTTGCATTAACAAAACTTATGTAGAGGAATTGTCATGAAAGACTTCAAAAAAAAAAAAGAAAAATCTTTAACAGTTTGTCTACTTAATGCTAAATAAATGTTGGTTCCCCCTAGATCTAGATGTTTCTTCATTAGATTCCCATGTAAAGAAGCTTTAAAACTGATCAAACATACATGTGCAACTTTCCAGCTTGTTTGTGTGGATTATGATTCAGTATCTTTATTTCTAATCTCTGTTTAATGCACTGATGATAATGCTGTGACGTTCAGCTGGTTTTCCTCATGATGATCTCAGTCTCCAAAACACTGAAATAAAGCGTTCAGAAACCACGACTGTATTAAACACAGGTTTCCTTCCCAAAAGTCCCTGCTGTGTGCGATTATTACATGAAGATAAAGAAATCGGCACAAACTGCAGATGTCAGAACTGTTTGGTTGACCTAACAATTTATACAAAAGAAAAATAAACCCTCCAAAAACTCTGATTGCATTGTCATTTATCAAAGCATGCTTAATGTATAGAGCAGACCTGGGCGGTTTGACACTATATATTATTACCGTAAAATGAAATGTGTACAATAAACTATATCTTCCCCACGAAATCTAAATAAGTGGGCGTGGCCAACTGACGTCCAGCATGCGTGAGGCTCAGAAAGATGCTCTATTGAAGACTAGCAGTGCTGCCAATTGCTTTATATTTTACACAAAAATTGCTCACCCTTTTTCAATATTTACACCAAATAAAAACTGCTTGATATGTTTAAAGTTAACATTTACTTTCATACTTAGGTTTACTTTCCTGTTATTTGGGATATACTTTATATCTGTGAGATGTTACTTGAACAATGTTCATTAAAAGTAAGCTCTGTCCACATAAAACTGAGAAATGTGACAGCGGAAATTGATGTTCATCCAAAGTCATATTTTCATTCTTTCATTCATTTTCTTGTCGGCTTAGTCCCTTCATTAATCCGGGGTCGCCACAGCGGAATGAACCGCCAACTTATCTAGCAGGTTTTTTACGCAGCAGATGCCCTTCCAGCCGCAACCCATCTCTGGGAAACATCCACACATTCACACACACACACACACACACTCATACACTACGGACAATTTAGCCCGAAACCCACGCAAAGGCAGTGAGAACATGCAAACTCCACACAGAAACGCCAACTGACCCGAGGCTCGAACCAGCGACCTTCTTGCTGTGAGGCGACAGCACTACCTACTGCGCCACTGCCTTGACTGTTTTCTATATTTATAAGGTTAATATCAAAAGACAAAATTATTAAACAATATTAAGTCCTTTCCTTAAATATTCAAGCATATTTATAATATAAGACCCTTTTGGATATTTTCAGCAACAAATAGGCTACCTTTATAAAAAATTAGGTATCATTGCCGTGAAGAAAAAAAAAAAAAAAACCTCTCACATATTTTGGTCATACTGCCCAGCTCTAATGCAAAAATGCTAATGCTTCTGTTAATAATACATGCTCTGCAACTCATGAACGTGTGTAATGTTTTAATTTATTCTGCTGGCTTGGTTAAGAGTTGTTATGGATCAGCATTTCTGCGCTTTAAAACAAAGATCCACAGATGTTCTGAAGGCTCGAGATAATCTTTATTGCAGCCAGAGCTATTTATATACACAGAAATGAGCTGAATGGAGACGAGGGAGGGATGTTTATGCTGCGTTCGCCTCGATCCTCTTCTTCCTCAAGTTCAGTCTCCTCTCTCGCTCGTACTCTTTCATCCGCATCACGTAACTGCACAAAATAAGAGAAACAATGAGGAAAACTATGCATTACACTGTGCAGCTCTTTAACAATTGCAGACCTATGAATAAAATAACCTTTTAACAGAGGACTTATTTTAAATTATTTTTGAATACTGTACTAATCTGTTAGACAAATTTGAAAGAGCTTTAAAAATAGACCCCCAATTGTTTCACACAAAACAACAAGGAGACTTAGATTTTAGCAAGGGAAACAAGCAACATCTGAAGAATTAAACACTATAATCTCATTTAGTCTTTGTTTAGGAGAATAAAATACCCAAGCTTTAACATCAGAATATAAAAACCTTTGCTACAGGACTTCAGGGGTAGGTACATTTACGTGTTGTCAGCATAAAAATGAAACGAGACACCAGGTTTCCTTAAGAATCCACCCCAAAGAAAGCGTCTATATAATAAAACCAGACTGAGAACAGAGCCCTGAGGGACTTCAGAGATTAAATCACCAACCTTTACAGAGAAACTACTACTGGCAAATAGCACTGAGACCATTTAAACAACATGGAGAATATTTAAAAAATAATTAACTTCACGAGAGGTCGAATAATTGTGTACATGTTAATCAGCAAAATTATGTCCCAAAAGAGTGTGAGATATGGTGAAAAGGCTTAATATATTTTCCAAACATTTTTGACACCTAAAGGTTCTTCCTAAATGGCAATTTACATAGTAAGCGCACTTTAAAAATAAATAAATAGAAAAATAAGTCCCCCTTTGATTTTTTTTTCTTAGTTAAATATTTCCCAAATGATGTTTAACAGAGCAAGGACATTTTCACAGTATGTCTAATAATATTTTTTCTTCTGGAGAAAGTCTTATTTGTTTTATTTCGGCTAGAATAAAAGCAGCTTTTAATTTTTTAAGCACCATTTTAAGGTCAAAATTATTAGCCCCTTTAAGCTATTTTTTTCGATAGTCCACAGAACAAACCATCATTATACAATAACTTACCTAATTACCCTAACCTGTCTAATTAACCTAGTTCAGCCTTTAAATGTCACTTTAAGCTGTATAGAAGCGTGTTAGATATAGCAGAAAAATATCTAGTCTAATAGTATGTGCTGTCATGACAAAAATAAAATAAATCAGTAACTAGAAATTAATTATTAAAACTATTATGTTTAGAAATGTGTTGAAAAAAAATCTTCTCCCCATTAAACAGAAATTGGGGAAAAAAAAATAAACAAAGGGCTGATAATTTAGGGGGGCTAATAATTCTGACTTCAACTGTTACTATTATTTAATGTTATTATGTTAGTATATACGCATTCTCAAAGTTGCTCATGTGTCTTATAATGAACCCAAAAATAAGTTAAAATAAATAAATGAATATATATATCTATATACAGTTGAAATCAGAATTATTCACCCCCCTTTGATTTTCTTCTTTTTTTATATATATTTCCCAAATGATGTTGAACAGAGCAAGGAAATGTTCACAGTATGTCTGATAATATTTTTTCTTCTAAAGAAAGTCTTATTTGTTTTATTTTGGCTAGAATAAAAGCAGTTTTTAATTTTTTTAAAATCATTTTTAGGGTCAAAATTATTAGCCCCTTTAAGCAATTTTTTGACAAACCATTATTATACAATGACTCGCCTAATTACCATAACCTGAATAGTTAACCTAATGAAACTAGTTAAGCCTTTAAACGTCACTTTAAGCTGTATAGAAGTGTCTTGAAAAATATCAAGTCAAATTTTATTTACTGTCATCAAAGATAAAAGAAATCAATTTTTAGAGATGAGTTATTAAAACTATTATGTTAATTATTATTATATGTTAAAATATGTTATTATTATTATGTTAAAATCTGCTCTCCCTTAAACAAAAATTGGGGAAAAAAATAAATAAACGGGGGCGAATAATTCTGACTTCAACTGTTACTATTATATGTTATAATGTTACTATATATGCATATTTAAAGTTGCTCATGTGTCTTAAAATGAACCCAAAAGCTTGACGAGGGCTTATGATTCAATTCAAATCGATTTGTATAGCACTTTTTACAATAATTACTGTTGCAAAGCAGCTTTACAAAAGGTGCTCATTATTGCATCACAATCAAAATCAGTGATGTTAAGGTTATTACCTACTATAACTTTATTAGTTACTAGGGCTGCATTTACACTCCATGGTTTAAGTGACCCAATTCAGTTTTTTTCTCCCATGTGGCACAGATCGGATATGGCCCATGTGTGTGTAAGTAGGAAAAAAATAATATTATTCACATGGTTAAACAACTTTAAAAACAAAAACTAAACCCTGTGAACAAGAGCACGAACAATCAGCTTTCAGTCAGCGCCCGCTCTTTTTTTCCTAGTCACTGCATCTTTGCGGTGAGCAGTGTAAATGAAGTCAATCGAATACGATTAACGTTTGATAGATGATGTAAGCGAGTCGTCAAAAAAATCCCACATAGTCACAAAATCGGATTTGACCAACAAGATCTGCAGTGTAAATACAGCCTGTAAGACAGAGACATCACCTATATCAGGGTTCAATGCTTAGGATTTTTCCAACTGGCCCGATTGGACCAGAGGTTCAAATTTTTACTTGCCCTGCCAAAATTTTCACCGGCCCCACTAAAAAAAAAAAAAAAAAAAAAAAAAAGGGGGGGGGGGGTTAATTGCTATTTCTTAGCCACATATATTAAAAAATGCATCACATACAATATTTATAATATTTATAATACAATATTTGTAATTATAATTTTTTAATCTAGAATTTAAATTTTTTTTAAATGTCAAAATATTTAGCAGTAAAATATCGAGTGTGGAAAATGTGCAGGTATTTTATTGCAAAACAAAAGGTGGCTGACTTAAAAGTGACGGCAAACTAAGCAAAACATCACTTCCTCTTTTTGATCATGTTGTCCCCATATGTTTTCACAACATTGGAAGCAGACATTTTCTTTTGGCCTCATAATTTGATGTTGCGGTTATGTTGCCGTCTGTTAAAATTTACAGACAAGGCAGCACTGCCCCGATCGGGCCAGTAATGATTCTGTCTACTGTCCCGAGCATCTCTCACGCTGGCCATCGGGCAGTCCTTATTGTTGAGCCCTTTATATACTACATAACTGCAGGTTAACTGTTTATATATAACAACTTTATCTGTTAAAAGCTATTAGTTACTTGTTACTTATTTAAAGCTATTAGTAAGTAATAGTTATGGTAACTAATAAACTAGTAAACTAATAATCTGCACCTTTTGTAAAGTTGCTTTGAAACAATAATTATTGTGAAAAAAGCGCTATACAAAAAAACTGGAGTTGAACTGAATAATGACTTTGAGTAGATGTGTGTGTGTGTGTGTGTGTGTGTGTGTGTGTGTGTGTGTGTGTGTGTGTGTGTGTGTGTGTGTGTGTGTGTGTGTGCATGAAAAGCGCATCTCTTACTCCTGATGTTGACAGTATTCCCAGTCGTGTTTCTGGTGGTCGCAGGCCATGTAGTTTGGAAACATGTCTCTCCTGCACTTCATCAGTTTGATCAGGTGGTGTGCGCAGTAATCCCGCTGATCCACCGGCAACATCGCCAGGTTCATCTGCTCCTGCGTGGCCACCATTACTGACAACACACCAACCAGTTACACAACTACTCCAACTAGGTGCATATTTATATTTTTAACAAATATTTAGTTTTTGGGTGAGTTATCCCTTTAAAATGCAATTCATATTTTGCTCCGTTAAATATAATTATAAATTTTAAAGCATCTTCTGATGAGGTATTGTGATTACTGCTCTAAAATATTGTCTTTTTAAATATGTGGGTATAAAACAAAAACTTTTTTCCCCTTTCAGCACAATTTTTTTTTTGAGAAACATTTGTAATATTTTGGAGAAGTAAACATGTCAGGCTTAATAATTAAAATGAATTAATAATAATAATAATTCCTTACATTTATATAGTGCTTTCTGTGCACCACCAGTGTGCAGCATCCACCTGGATGACGCGACGGCAGCCATTTTGCGCCAGACCGCACACCACACACCAGCCGATTGGTGGAGAGGAGATAGTGATGAAGCCAATTGGAATATGGGGATGGTTAGGAGGCCATGATGGACAGAGGCCAGTGGGCAAATTTGGCCAGGATGCCAAAAAGAGTGAAACCCCTACTGTTTTTTGAAGGACATCCTGGGATATTTAACGACCACAGAGAGTCGGGACCTCGGTTTAACGTCTCATCCGAAAGACGAATTATTGACTTCTGCTATCATCATTGGTTTTAAAAATACAGATTACCTTACAAATTAAAGAGAGAATATTGAGTTTGTTTCCATTTCAGCTTTTTTGGCTACGTCATGTCAAAAAAAAAAAAAAAAAAAAAAACTGATCAAGTTTACCACATTTTATAAAAAAAAAATTCTAACAATTAAAACTCACCAACAGCAATAAATAATGCACAATATAAAATTCATAAAAAATAATGATAATAGAAAAGATACAAATTTAAAACAGTTTTTTAAAGTTTACTTTTGATAAACATTGTACAATTTTAGAAGGATTCACATTTAAAAATATTTAATTTAAAGTCTCTCCTGTTAAAAAATTGTTGTCTGATAACATTTAAAATAGTATTCTAGTTTTCACAAGTATACGATTAACAGTTTGCTTTCTTTTGCAATATTGACATTTTGGTGGTTCTTCTCCTTTGAGTAAATGTCCATAACCGAGTCTCTTTACAAATGAAAACAGCATCTTTGGATATATTTTCTGCAGTAGATACTGTATCCTAAAAAAAATCTACTGAATACAGTATTCCTACTGTAGGAATGGTATAACAGAAAATTATGGTTTTAAAAACGTGAAATACCTTGAAAATGGTTATCGTCCAATACCTACTTCTGATAACTATAGATTCAGTGTTACTCCATTAGGTTCTGAATAAATGCAAGGTTAAATTGAAGCTTGAGCCTGAAGCTCAAATTCAATGACAGGCCTTTAATCTAAAGTGGACTAATAATAATGTGTTAAATGCGCTTATTACCGTGTATTTGAGCAGTTAATTAAATAATAAGTAATGAAAAAATGTCACCTCTCTCTTTGCGCTCCCCGAAGCCTAAATGCGGGTCATATTGAGACGGTTTGTTGGGTTCTGGTGTCGCGTCAATTTCCGTGACATAACTCCGCACAAGATGAGCGCCCATCCCGATCGTTGAATCTTACCACAGACTGCAAAACAGTTCAATTATATATATACAACAAAAACTTATAATGCAGAAATCACTTTAATTCTGCACACTGCCATTCGGTCACCTCCACTGCTCCTTTTGACGTTTCCGATCTGCGCAGGAAGTAAACATGTGCAACGAGGAACACACTCCCCTCACACTGAAGATACCGTTCCGCCTTGATGAAGAAATAACTAAAATCAGTTGCTTATGTTGATGCATTTATTCATCAAATACAGAATAAAGTACATAAGTACTTTAAATATGAGATTTTGTCACCCCGTTAATAAAATGAAACCAAAGCCGTTTAAAAGTCAGTTTAAATTGGTTAATATTTGATTAGCTTAGTCTCTTTATTTATTTTAATTTTACAACAGGGGTCTTGACCAGAGTTATCAAGTCCACATTATGTATCTTTTTGGGTTCTTCTAAATGTTGTAATGGTCGCATGTTTATATGCTTACTTATAAATGTTGCTAGTTGAAAAAAGCGCCCACACCTTCTATAACTGTTTATTGTCTGTTTTTGTAATGTTTTAGTCGTAATAATGGTACTAACAGCCATAACTTATTGTAACTATGTGAATCGTTTTCTGTTTAAGATTTTATTTAATTTTTTTGTTTTAAGTACTCACTTTCTGTACCTAATGTTTATTTATTCATTGAAAATACATAACTAATACATAGCCCTACTGAAAAATCCAGCTTAAACCAGCCTAGGCTGGTTGGCTGGTTTTAGCTGGTTTACCAGCCTGGTTTTAGAGGGGTTTTGGCCATTTCGGTCTTATCTGGTCAGGCTAAAAAATGACCAGCTAAATCCAGCTTGACCAGCCTGATTTAAGCTGGACATAGCTGGTTTTGGCTGGGCTCCCATCCTGCTAGGTTGGTCAAGCTGGTTTTAGCTGGTCATCTCCCAGCCTGACCAGCTAAGACCAGGCTGGAAATGGCTGGAAACCAACCTGGAAATAGCTAAAACCAGCCTGGTCGACCAGCTAAATCCAGCCTAGGCTGTTTTAAGCTGTTTTTTCAGTAGGGAGGCTATTGATAATATAAGTTTGTTTTAAAGTGTGACATAAGCGCGCCACAGATATTCAAAATTATACCCGGGTCAGTCTGCTCACTACCTCATTCTGATTTACTGATTTATTTAACTTGTTTAATGTATGAATCTTTTGCGAAACATAATAACCTTGACATTAATCCTAATAGTTATTAAGTAGAAACAATGGAATATATATATATTTTTTTTACTAAAACGATTGAATGGATGTCTACCTTCAAATTTGTCCTGTTTTGCAATATTTCTGTTATTTATTTTACGTAGTAAGCAGTGTTTACAATCTTGCTTTTAAAATGTTATGACCTTTATGATGGCATTTGGGAGAAGATGGATGACAGCAAAATCACCTAGGGACTTTATTAATGTCACACACATTCACACAAACAAATGTGATTAACAATATCATCTCATCATTTTATTGAAGTACTAGGCATTCAGTTTAATACGTGTGCCATTAGTTTCCTGCAGTACTAAGATATTAAAATCCCTGTCAGAATTGAAAATAGCATACATAATATTGATAATGAGCAAATTCATTAGCAAACTGATTTCATTCTTCTTTCACTGTTGCAGACAACCGGTGCCATGGAGGACTGTTGATTACTGATAGAGATCATCGTCTCCTTCATCTCTGAAATGACCTCCAGAGCCTTGGCTCGACCCTTGACCTCCTCCTGACTTGGGCGCAGTAGGAAACCTGACGACGAGTTAAAGAAAAAGAAACAATTTACTTTACAAGATGAGGTGTGGAGTAAAATAAGCTACCTTTGATTTGGTGTTTTAGTACCTGAAGTTCCCAAATCCACGGCTCTGTTGAAGAGTCTGAGCAAACATCTCATACTTCCTTATGTCATTATCACTGACAGACCGACGAGCAAATCTCATGGCTTCCTCGAAATGATCCTTCCTGATCTCAGGCACTGGGTCGTAATCATCATCCTGGAAACAGCAGTGAAGATATAACACCCTGTAGGTATGAAGACCCCTAAATGCATGTCACAACATTAAAGAAAGAGAGCTTTATATTAGATGCTATGTTTAATAACCCGAATGTTAAAAGATATTTCTGTAAGCGAATTAATGGATCGGCCTACTAGGCAATGGACAAACATATTTAGAGTGTGTATTTTTTCCTGACATGGCGGGGGGAATTGTGATTTAATGCAGTGCATCTTGTACAATCTGAGACCCACTCTATATTAGATATCACTCAGCCAGTGGAGATCGCTGATTTTTAAAGAAAACAGACCTTAAACGTGCCGATGTTGCATTGGCATACAATTCGCCGGAAACGATTAACCCAGGTTACTGGCAAATTAAAAGTCCTATTAGCATGCTTCGGCATATACACTACTGTTATAACTTTTCAATTATTCAATTATTGGAACATTAGAATAATTGGAACGTTAGAACAATTGGAAGATTAGAACAATTTAAACACTACTAGAATTGATACAATTCGCCAGAAACGATTAACCCAGGTTACTGGCAAATTAAAAGTCCTATTAGCATGCTTCGGCAAATACCCTATTGTTATAACTTTTCATTTATTCAATTATTGGAATATTAGAGTAATTGGAACGTTAGAACAATTAGAAGATTAGAATAATTGGAACGTTAGAACAATTGGAAGATTAGAATAATTGGAACGTTGGAACAATTGGAAGATTAGAATAATTGGAACGTTAGAACAATTGGAAGATTAGAATAATTGGAACGTTAGAACAATTAGAAGATTAGAACAATTTAAACACTACTAGAATTGATTGAATTATTCCAATTGTTGTAAAATTAAGTTGTTCTAAGATTACAGTTCTAACACTCCAATTGTTGTAACATTCCAATTATTCTAATGTTCCAATTGTTCTAACATTCTAATTGTTATAACGCTCTAAATATTCTAACATTACAATTGTTCTAATGTTATAGTTGTTTCAACATTTCAATTCTAGTAATGTTTAAATTGTTCTAATCTTCCAATTGTTCTAACGTTCCAATTACTCTAATGTTCCAATTGTTCTAACGTTCCAATTGTTCTAATGTTACAGTTGTTCTTACATTTCTATTCTAATAACATTCCAATTGTTCTAACCTTCCAATTGTTTTAACGTTGCAATTATTCTAATGTTCCAATTGTTCTTACATTGCAGTTGTTCTAATATTCCAATTGTTCTAATGTTCCAATTACTCTAATTTTCCAATTGTTATAACGTTCCAATTACTTTAATGTTCTAATTGTTCTAACATTGCAGTTGTTCTAATATTCCAATTGTTCTAATGCACACAATTGTTCTGACGTTACAATTGTTCTAACATTAAAGTTGTTCTAACGTTACAATTGTTCTAACATTACAGTTGTTCTAACGTTACAATTGTTCTAATGTTATAGTAGTTCTTACATTTCAATTCTAGTAACATTCCAATTGTTCTAACGTTCCAATTATTCTAATGTTCCAATTGTTCTTACATTGCAGTTGTCCTAAAATTCCAATTATTCTAATGTTCCAATTGTTCTAACATTGCAGTTGTTCTAATATTCCAATTGTTCTAACATTGTAGTTGTTCTGACATTACAATTGTTTTGACGTTGCAATTGTTGCAATGTTCCCATTGTTTCAAATTCTACAACCACCACATATAACATAAAGTTAATTTAGTCTTTCTTAGTTTATTTGCCAGTCAGCTGTAAAAAGTCTTCCAGGACATTACTGATCTTTTAAATTTGTGTTCAGCACACACACCTCGACACCACACACACTGACCATAGCAGTCTCTTTCCTGGCCTGCCGCTGTCTCTCAGCACGGATCTCTGCCTCTATGGCTTCTCTGATGGCGAGTTTACAGGCCCTCTGACAGATCTCAGTCAGGTCTGCTCCCGAGAAACCTTCTGTAATCTTGGACAGATACATCAGATCTACATCCTGAGAAACACACACATAAACACACAGTCATGTAACTTATTTAGATGCATCTATTTAAGTTTTGTGTGTGTGTGTGTGTTTAAAGGACCTTAGCGACTGGGGACTTGCGAAGGTTGGCGCGCAGGATGGCAGTGCGGGAGGGCATGTCAGGCAGAGGGATATAAATAAGCTGATCCAAACGACCAGGCCTTAGAATGGCAGGATCAATGATATCAGGCCTGTCAAGACAAACAGGATGACTTGCAATCGATTATACACCTCACCTTCTCCTTATTTTGAGTCATTGTATCCACTATTAACAAACTAATAAATGATGCACTGGCGCACCGTCCTACTTTTCAGGGTCGTTTCAAGTAGATGTACGTCACAATAGAGGAAAAAAACGACAAACTTAACTTTAATTTCACGCTATTGTGTTTGTACCTGTTAGTGGCACCAATGATAAAGACGTTCTTCTTGTTGGTCATCCCATCCATTTCTGTCAAGATCTGGTTGATGACCCTGTCAGCCGCGCCTCCTGCATCTCCAGCTCCGCCTCCTCGTGCTTTAGCAATAGAGTCCAGCTCATCGAAAAACAGAATACATGGAGCCGCCTGTCGTGCCTGTCGAGACCAATCACATGTGTGAGAATCAGGCTTTGGTTAAATCAGTAAGAGTATGGAATTTAGATTGCTTAATGAATGGTCATTAACACTGGAATTACCAGGATTTCATAACTACTAGCTTTACTATAGTGGTCATCTTGACCATTCTCATATGAGACGTCATATTATCACATCATATTTACATTCAAAGCTTCTACTGAGATATTGAAATTAAGCTTTGAACATCTGTCTTCATATTTACTAAAGTTATATGACTCTAAAAAATTAAATAATCTTGGTAATACATCCTATATATGTGTAGTTAGGCTATTGGACCATCTGCAAATGTACGTGCATCAATTTTATTTTCACTTTCACAACCAGAAGGCTTTTTTGTGGCACTAAATATGCTGTTTTGAAAGACATCTGAAGTAAAGTTATGTTTTTGCTATCAGAAACTTATGTTTATGTTTGCAAGAAGTTGCTAGGCAACAGAGGCATGCATATTCAAAGTCAAAAGGGAAAATACATGCGGTATTAAAGTTAGAAATACTTTTAATAAATTTGACTAATTTTGATAAAATAATTTTAAAATGAAATATGCCCATATTTAGGAAATGTCAGGGTAATGTAGGTATGTGTATTTTATTTAATATTCTGTTATTAAAAATTTAAATAGTCAAAAAGATCACTTTGGTAGTTTTAGTGTAGTATTTGAAACAATATGAGCTAACAAAATAAAAATTGTACATTTAGATTTTATGGTGACTTTACACATGACACTTATGAAATTATATGCTATCAAGTCTGGGGCGCTCAGTAAGATTTTTTTTTACATTTTTGTACAGCAATGATCTATTCAGTTGATTAAAGAATAACAGAGACATCAATAATATAACAAAATATATCTATTTCTTTTTTTTTTTTTTCGAAATCCTGCAAAAATTAAATAACAAAAATTTTAACCACATTGTTTTCAATATTGACAATTAATAGAAATGTTTCTGAATCATCCAGTCCGAATGATTTCTAAAGAAAATTCAGCTGTTCTGTCAAATGATCAGATTAAAACAGATAAAAACTAACACTAAATGTAAAAAATATATAATATAAACCTTGATTGATTGTTCACAGGAAATACATTTGAAATGTATGCTATCAACACATATAAATGACATTCAGTCTTGGTTAGTGGATGTTATTTATTATTTAACCAACTCTTTCAGACAGCTTTTACTTCACCTTATCAAACACATCTCTGACGTTTGCCTCTGATTCACCAAACCACATAGTGAGCAGCTCCGGGCCTGCAATCAATACAATATGTAACAGATCACACACACAAATACACTCATGTTCAGACAAAACATTTTAACTTCACTTTCACACACACACACACACACACACACACACACACACACACACACACACACACACACAAACACACACACACACACACACATTCATACCTTTGATGGACACAAAGTTGGCCTGGCATTCATTGGCAATGGCTTTAGCTAGCAGGGTTTTTCCGCAGCCTGGTGGACCATAAAACAAAACCCCTCGAGACGGAGTCATTCCAAACTTCAGAAATTTATCAGGATACTCTACGGGATACTTAACACAGAGATAAGGTCAATGAGAGAGAGAGAGGGCGCTAATGATCATTTTATATAGAAATGCAATGAAAATAAAGCTCTGGATGCACTTTTGGCCAAAAACTAAAACTAAAAATGCTTTGTAATAATGATTTATTTTATTAAGTAATATAAAAAAATTACGTAAGACTGTTTGTGTTTTGCGTTTAATGGGGACCAGTCCCCTACAGATCCATCCCAATTTATCTAAAATGATAAGTTCTTTCAAAATAGACGAAATTCCGGTTTGTAAACATTCAGGATGCAGGTGCAGCGAGGTTGCTGAAAAAACAGGAGCGCTAGCATTTACATTGAGGAAACGACATCCGATGCGGTACAGAGTTTGTTGTTGTCTTAGAGATAAGTTATATTGATTACATATTATATATATTATTTCTATAATGCTTTCAGCGTATTATAACAGCTCACCACCCAGTGATAAGCTTAGTTATTCCCTGAAATTAACGTTAAAGTGAGCGGCGTTCGTTTGCAGGTTATTTTGCGATAGCACCCTCTCACTGCATATTGGATAAGACGAAATGGCCAAGCATCCAGCCCCAAATATACAATCTGGTTGAAACTCCAAGTGATTTTACAAGAGAGAAGTTAAAGGTCTACAAGTCTTTAGATGCCAACAATTTTGTTCTGTGTGGTCATGTGCAAGAAATAATGCTCCATGATGACCACCCAGCAGGCACACAACGTCATATGACGTAGGTATTTGGTTATATTTTTGTTCAGACGTCAGAGAGCAAAATCTATTGTCAGTTTAACGTCAAATGATGTCATAATAAGACATCCATACAACGTCAGTATAACATCAGTAGACATTGATCTTAGGTTGGTTTTAGGTTGTGGAATTAACCAACCTAAGTCCAGCATCTTCTTAACGTCATAATGTGACGTCCATACAACCTCAAAGTCTAACATCAGTAGAAATTGATCATTGGTTGGTTTTAGGTTGTGGCATTGATATTATTATGATGGCTGTTAGCCAAAGGCGTCTGCGGTTGGCATTAAAAGCAGTGTGGTGTACGGTAAAATTAAAGTTTTCTATTTTAGTACTTTTGATTTTGGCATCAAACCGCACAACATGACATGTTTGCTATTGCAACCGGTCTTTTTTGTAACCACTATCCGCGGTTGAACCCGTGTGACATCATGTGTGATTAAATGACATTCACATTTTTGTTATCCGCATTGGAATTACCATCCATTTTTCCACCATTGTGCAGTCCTAGTTTGTGGTTTACCTGCACAAGCTCCTGTAACTCCCGCTTGACCTCATCGAGTCCTCCAATGTCCTCCCAGTTCACATGAGGAACCTCCACGACCGTCTCCCTCAGAGCAGATGGGTTACTCTGACTTAGAGCCCACTGAGAGACAGAAAACCACAGACACAATCCCCACAGGAGATCAAAATCACCAATAAGATCAAGCTAACATTTCAATGGGAAATTAATTTTAAATGGGAAGCAAATTAAGACTTCTGCTTTTTATTATTGGCTGGGAATTTCTAGAAAGCTGACCTTGAAGTCGTCCATTGTGACGGCCAGTGAGTTGAGGAGATCTGCATCGATGCTGTCGTCCTCCAGATCAATTAAGGTCATCTTTTTGCGGATGGCCTGCAGTGCTGCTTCTGAACACAGAGCGGCCAGATCTGCTCCTACATGTCCATGTGTCTCAGCAGAGATCTACCATAAAGAGAAACACACAGGTAAAATAGTCAACACGAATTAGGTCTGTCATCTGTCTCTCATTCTTACCTGTTCCAGATCCACATCTTCTGACAGCTTCATGTTCTTGGTGTGAATCTGTAAAATTTCCAGCCTGCCAGTGGAGTCAGGGATGCCGATGTCAATCTCTCGATCAAAACGTCCTGCACAGTGGAGCCAACAAATCATTTACTAGTGAATATTCAGTGGTCTATTATAAAATATTAGAGCTGTGGTGAAAATTTGATAGAGAAATAGATTTAGCAATTTCCTGAATGCATTGAAATTGTCTCTTGAATGGATTCAGAGCTTCGTTTTTGACAGCAGAGGGCGCTGTATGCTTTACCAACAGCCTAACTCTGCTTGCATCCAACTCTTTACAGAGACCATAGGAAAGGTTTAAGAAAACAGTGTTCATAGCTGTGTTTACATTAATCTTGTGGCATGAAGCACTTTTTCGCGTGAGGATTTTAAAGTATAGATAAGTGCCATCTGCTGTTAAAAACTAGTCTAGAGTGCCCTCTGCTGTTCAAAACTAACCTAGAGTGCCATCTGTTGTTAAAAACTAGCCCAGAGCATCCTTTGCTGTTCAAAGAATTGCCTAGCGCTCCATAGCTATTTAAAAAACTAGCCTAGAGTGCTGTTTTGCTGTTAAAAAATAGCACAGAGCACTGTCTGCTCTTCAAAACTAGCCTAGAGCGCCATCTGTTTCTAAAAAAGTAGCTTAGAGAGTCAACTGATGTTACACATTAGCCAAGCACCTTCTACTAGTCAAAACTAACTTAGAGTGCCATCTGCTGTTTAAAAACTAGCATAGAGCACCATCTGCTGTTCAAAATTAGCCTATAGTACCATCGGTTTTTAAAAACTAGCCAAAAGCATCAGCTGCTGTTCCAAAAAAAAAAAAATCTAGAGCGCTATCTGCTGTTTAAACTAGCCTGGAGCGTCATCTGCTGTTCAAAACTAAACTAGACTGCCATTCATCTGCTGTTCAAAAGAAACCTAGAGCACCATCTGCTGTTATTAATTAGCCTAGAACACCACCTGCTGCTAAAAACTAACATAGAGCACCATCTATTGTTATAAACTAGCCTAGAGCATCATTTGCTGTTCAAAACTAACCTAGAGGGCCATCCAGCTGCTGTTCAAAAGAAACCTAGAGCACCATCTGCTGTTATGAACAAGCCTAGAGCACCATCTGCTGTTATAAACTAACATAGAGCGTCATCTGATGTTAAAAATGAACCTAGAGGGCCATCCTTCTGCTGTTCAAAAGAAACCTAGAGCGCCATCTGTTGTTATGAACTAACCTAGATGGCCATCCATCTGCTGTTCGAAAAAAACCTAGAGCGCCATCTACTGTTATAAACTGGTCTAGAGCACCATCTGCTCTTATAAACTAGCCTAGAACACCACCTGCTGCTAAAAACTAACATAGAGCGCCATCTACTCTTTTAAACTAGCCTAGAGCGTCATTTGCTGTTCCAAACCAACCTAGAGGGCCATCAAACTGCTTATATAAAGTAGTCTAGAGCGACATCTGCTCTCATAAAATGGCCTAGAACGCCATTTGCTGTTAAAAAAAACCTAGTGCACCATCTGCTGCTAAAAACTAACATAGAGCGCCATCTACTCTTTTAAACTAGCCTAGTGCGTCATTTGCTGTTCAAAACCAACCTAGAGGGCCATCAAGCTGCTGTTATATAGTAGCCTAGAGCGACATCTGCTCTCATAAAATGGCCTAGAATGCCATTTGCTGTTAAAAAAAAAACCTAGAGCACCATCTGCTGTTATAAACTAGTCTAGAGCACCATCTGCTCTTATAAACTAGCCTAGAACACCATCAATTGTTATAAACTAACCTAGAGCGTCATCTGATGTTAAAAACTAACCTAGAGGGCCACCTATCTGCTGTTCAAAAAAAAACCTAGAGCGCCATTTGTTGTTATGAACTAGCCCAGAGCACCACCTTGTGTTAAAAACAAGCCTAGAGCACCACCTGCTGTTAAAAATTAACCTAGAGCACCGTCTGCTATTCAAATCTGCCTAAAATGCCATCTGCTTTTCAAAACCAGCTTAGAACACAATCTGCTATTATAAACTACCCTAGAGCGCCATCTACAGTTGTAAATAAAGGTCAAAATCAATTCAAGTGAGCATTGCAGTGATGTGGACATCTCAGAATCGATGCAGAATCAATTTCTCAAAAAAATCAAACTCTACAAAATAGCATTAGCAATAAAGACTGTTAAATGTGCATATTCACACCAAATCGCCGAAGAGCAGCATCCACACTGTTGGGCCTGTTTGTAGCTGCCATTACGACAACATGAGCGCGCTGTTTCAGGCCGTCCATCAGCGTGAGCAACTGAGAGACGATCCTCCGCTCAACCTCACCGTGAGTCTAAAGAGGTGACATGAGCATTAATTGAATGCCAAACATCAGACCGGACACTCTCACAGCACATAGAGTATCTCTCCTCACCTTCTCACGTTTCGGAGCGATAGCATCCAGCTCATCGATGAAGATGATAGCAGGGGCGTTTTTTTCAGCCTCCTCGAAAGCTTTTCTCAGGTTGCTCTCAGACTCTCCTGCCAGCTTACTCATGATTTCAGGACCTGGGATACAAAAATAACAACATGAAGGTGTAGAAATACACAGCAGGAGTGTTACTGATATGATATTTGGCCAAATAATATAGATATACATTAATGGTACGTTTCTGGAAACCACGAAATGCATCCGAGGAGGTACGTAATTTGGCAGTTTTGTTTCGCGAATTCACAAGAGGCCGCTGTGTATGCCTTTTCATGTCAAATTTCTTTCGTGAGTGCCGTTCGTGCCTGCTGTTCTCATGCAAACCCACCAGAGGCCGCTGTTGACTGACTGTTTGATTGACTGAATGACCGACCAATCGACTGACCCACCCTCCTCTTTCCCTAAACCCAATCAATTTTATAGATTGATCCACCGGCCCATTTCCCTAAACCCAGCCAACAATTTACAAAAGCAATCCAGAAAACGAAAAGCCCTCGTCTAATTTTTTACCATGTTTTCGGATTTTACCACGTTCTTAACCTGTTATTTACTTGTTTATATTATTTTTTGGATTCTGTTTTTGTCTTACCTGATTTCTGGAACTGTTCTTCACCAGACTTGAACTCCATCGTTGTCATGATCAACTCCTTTCTGTGTCTTAAGTCAGCCGACATACATGACAAGCTAACTGGACAAACTGATTACAGTGGGAAAGAGGTCCACATGAAGGTAAGTGGTCAGATGGTAAGAGAGAAAAGGAATGGCGTCATACCGCCCCATATCGTTCGTTTAAAAAATGCAGCCGTACGTACCTCTGGCCACATAATTCGCGTTCTCCAGAAACGTATGTAGGACTACGTTTTCAGAAGAGCCTGTTTTGTGTATTACTGTGAAAATGAAGAAAAGTGCTATGCTGAGTATGGCCACCCTAAGAAAATGAAAAAGTCCCGCCTTCAAAATTATCCAAAAAAAATATTGTTTTGTTTTTATCTTCAGAAGAATTAAGTCAAAATTAGGAGTAAAATAATCTTATTTTTTTGTAATGTAGGTATTTGGACCAGAAACAAGACAAAAATTCTAAGTTAGAAAAAACTATTTTTTTTTTGCAAAAATTTTATAAATAAATACAATAAATCTTTGTTACACCTCCAAATATACTTTTATGTGCCCAAACTCTCTTGAAAGGCTCAGCCAAAGGCCTTAAAACACATGCAAATTATAAACTTTCACCATGTTATGATTAAACTTAGCATTGACTCTACAAAGCACTTGCGTTCTGTGGCTCCTGGTCAACTGTAATTCAAACTCAACATTGCCGATTCTGCACTGTGACTCTTACAGATGCATACATTGCAAGTTCAATGAAGAAACGATATATCATGCAGCCCTACTCTGGTTACCATTAAAACAGCCACAATGGACCTGCCAATCTTTGTGCATGCACAGTAGCTGGAACAAACTGCAAATAGTTGTAACTAAGGATTTAACAACAAATGTTATGGGATTGGTCACTTTAAAGTGTTGCTGCTTTGAGATATGCCATTTAATTGAGTTCAGTTTTGAGATTTCAGTATTCCCCCATTCATTTATATAGGACTTGGTTGTTGGATGGTGCAAATATGGCAGCCAACTGAACAAACTTTCCTTGTAATGGGCTTTGTTTTGGCTCAGTGATGATGCATTATAGTCTGCCAGTCCTGTACCGTACAAATTCCTTTCTAATAGCTATCACCTTTTAGGGTTTGAAGATAAAAAAATAAGTGATTGAAAATCTAATGAAGTTTTCTAAAAGTCAGTTTCAGTGTTTGCAGACTTCTGTTCTTGCAGGGCGGCAAACGCTCACAGACTGCGGTTTTAAGTGTGTGAATGTACCGTTGATGAGAAAGAAGAAAGCTCCAGTCTCATTGGCCACAGCACGAGCCACCAGCGTCTTCCCTGTTCCAGGCGGACCATACAGGAGAATCCCTCTCGGAGGCTGAAGAGCGACAGTGAATGTGAGTGTACAGTGAAGAAATTCAACCAAGCGTGGGTTAATGGTGGGAGAAACAATGACGATTACCACAGCTCAGCCATTGTTCAGATGGAGTATTACAAGACATTTGTCAGATGTTTGTCCTCAGAGGCTCAGACTGCTCATGAAGTCTGGCCATAAATGCTTTTGAATATAAGCTAATATATACAAACAATTATGTACATATCTGTAATTGCAATCATTGAAAAAAACATGTAAATGGCCATTCTGTAATGTTTTGTGTTGCATATATCACACATATTTTGTATATGTGAAATCCAAACATGAACTTGTATGCCATATATATAATTTGCATATATGATCATATACTAGATTTTAACATGGAGTGTGTTAAGGACTATAGTTTCATCCACACCTCCTCCAAAGCCTTCAGTTGTGTTTTGATGGGATTTTTGACTGTTGTAGCTGTGAAATAACTCAAATCATTTAGCGGAGTGATAATTGAGCTGTAATGCGCTCAAAACCCGCCGGAACTACTTTAACCGTGCGTTTATCTGAAATTAAAGTCACACCTTAGAGCAAGGGTCACCAATCTTGGCCCTGGAGGGCCGGTCTCCTGCAGATTTTAGCTCCATCCCTAATCAAACACACCTGAACCAGCTAATCAAGGTCTTACTTGAAACACACACACATATATATATATATATATATATATATATATATATATATATATATATATACAATACAATACAATACAATACAATACAAAACTTGAAACAATCAGGCAGGTGTGTTGAGGCAAGTTGGAACTAAACCCAGTGGGTAGCACGATCGACTCACAGCAAGAAGGTTGCTGGTTCGAGCCTCGGCTGGGTCAGTTTGCATTTCAGTGTGGAGTTTGCATGTTCTCCCCAAGTTGGTGTGGGTTTCCTCCGGGTGATACGGTTTCCCTTCGGTTTATATCAATTGGGCAAGCTGAATTGTCTGTTGTGTATGAGTGTAAATGAGTGTGCATAAAACATATGCTGGATAGATTGGCGGTTCATTCCGCTGTGGCAACCCTGGATTAATTAATGGACTAAGCCAAAAAGGAAATGACTGAATACAAACATAGACTATACAGTATCTGTAGAAGGTGTTTGTTGACTCTTGCCTTCACTCCGATGGCTTTGAACAGGGCCGGGTGTCTCAGCGGCAGCTCCACCATCTCTTTAATCTGAGCCAGCTGTTTCCGACAGCCTCCGATGTCATCATAGCCGATGTCATTCAGACTCTCCTCCTCATCCTGACAACATCAACTCACTGTATGACATCATGCCGAAGTGGAGAAGCTCACCAGGTATGATGATGTCACACACACTTGCCTCTCGTTTGATTGGTTCTCCCTCACAGTGGATTATGGTGTCCGGGGCAACGATGCAGTGTGGGGTGGGATCTGTTTCTACCACTTTAAACTCCACCGCTCTCATGCCTCCTCTGACCAGGAAAATATCACCTTCAGAAAGCAGGAAAAAACTTTTGTTTGACATTTTTTCAATACATTCTTCTTCTGTTAGGTGAGTAAATGATTCATTTTCTTATTTTAGATTATTTATTTACCTATTTATTACATTTTTGACATTTACTTTTTGAGTGAACGATCCCTTTATTTGAAACTAAAAATGAACACCAGTAGCTGAAATCAAATAAAATATTTATTTTTAGATCAAAATCTAATCTTATGAATAAAAAACAGATGCAATGTCAACTAGGTAAAATAAGGTGACGTTCAAGTTTGAGATACTAGAATTGCTTGAACGGAAATGATGTTTATTTTAAATAAATAATTTATAGACATTTTTTACAAAATAATAATAATCAAAAATAAAGTTAAAATCTTGAATGAAAATCTTGAAATATACACGAATCATTATATTAATAAATATTTGAATACACTACCTGACAAAAGCCTTGTCGATCCCAGTTGTAAGATCAACAAATAATAACTTGACTTCTAGTTGATCATTTGTAAAAGTGTCAGGAGGTGAACTTTTCTGATGAATCATCTGTTGAACTGAATCCCAATCATCACCAATACTGCAGAAGACCTACTGGAACCTGCATGGACGCAAGATTCTCGTAGAAATCAGTCAAGTTTGGTGAAGGAAAAGTCATGGTTTGGAGTTGCATTCAGTATGGGGGCGTGTGAGAGATCTGCAGAGTGGATGATCAACATCAACAGTCTGAGGTATCAAGACATTTGTGCTGCCCACTACATTACAAACCACAGGAGAGGGACAATTCTCCAGCAGGATAGCACTCCTGCTCATACTTCAGCCTCCACATCAAAGCTCCTGAACGCAAAGAATGTTAAGGTGCTCCAGGATTGGCCAGCCCAGTCACCAGAGATGAACATTGTTGAGCATGTCTGGGGTAAGATGAAGGAGGAGGCATTGAAGATGAACACAAAGACTCTTGATGAACTCTGGGAGTCCTGCAAGAACGCTTTCTTTGCCGTTCCAGATGACTTTATTAATCAGTGAATTGAGTCATGTCAGAGATGTATGGATGCAGTCCTCCAAGCTCATGATGGAGTCAGACACAATATTCATTCTGTCTCCACTGCAGCAGGACTTTATATTCTATACTGGACATTATTTCTGTTCAGTGACAAGACTTTTGTCTAAGCAAAGCCAGACCTTACTGTCCTAAGCAAATCATTCAAAATCAAGGCATGATTATATTTTATTTTGGTGTAAAATAAACATAATCTAGAGGCCTTTGCCTTTCATGTAAGCCACTTCTGATACCAAATCATCAACTAGAAGTCAAGTTATTATTTGTTGTTTCTAAAACTTGGATAGGCGACAAGACTTTTGTCAGGTAGTGTGTATATAAATAAAGGAAATATTTAACAAGAACTACAGTTTCAACACTGTATTGTATTTGGCAGCTTAATATGATTATTACTATTAATATTTAGTCGATTATTGGTGGCAACCAAAAACTACATCATTAATAAGCTTGTAAAAACACATGACTTCAAATTTATAACTTAACCTATTTGTTATTCCAACCCCGGCGGTCTCAATGTCAATCTGAACTTCAAAGTAGACCCAAATCACAAAACCACACTCAATATCAAAGCAGTCCCTGAAGGAAGACCTGCCTCTAATCTCTGACACACACCGAATGATCATATGCACCTTTGTGAACCGGTCTGTAAGCCTCCAGGAAATACGGCTTCAGAAATACGTCAAACAGGTTTCCCGTCAGCCCTTCGATAGTGTCATCAATGGGCAGAACGTGGATGCGCTTCCCATATTTCACATCTGGACAAGGATGGATACTGTATACACACAGACAGATGCGTTACTCACTGAGAAGAAGCAGATGTAATATTTATGTGATCATTTGTGCGTCATCTGAAACTCCACATTTATAATCCTCTTCGTCTATGCTGGCATTATCTTCAGCAGCTCAAACACTCTATTGGCTCACCGCTGCTTCTCACTCAGGGCTGTTTATGCTAATGAGGGAGAGATGGTCACTAGTGGGCGGGGCTTTCCCCATCTGATGACACGTACAAAGGGAGAATGTCAATCAAAGAGTTCCTGCAGACTGCTTTATCAAGTCTAATTACAAATAATACAATTAATTAATTTTTACCATTAGAGGCAGTTTATATGCACACACTGCTGCCATACAACTGTGTTTAAACACCTTATAAAAGTGATTTTTGCATAATAGGTCACCTTTTTTAAACATTTTACAAGTTAAATCCAACATACAACAAAGTACAGTGAATCTATCATCACCAAATATACGCCACTATACATGCCCCAAACCTCCAACCCATAGTCCAACAAATAAACCATGAATAAACCTAAACAAACAAGCAAACAAACAAACAAGCAAACAAACAGAAAATAGGTGACATCTAAGCATTCTGTCCTATTATTCCCAACTAAGAAATAAAGCTGCCCAGTATTTGCAAATAAATCTTGACGCTTTTTCAAATGTAATGCAATTTCTTCCAAAGGCCTGTAGGATGACACTTCTTTAATCAACCCAGGCGCATTCTGATAACGTGTGGACGTTTCTGGAGATATGTCCCGGGAGGTGTGTATTTTTGTTTTCGCAAGTTCGCGAGAGGCCGCTGTGTGTGCTTTTTTGTATCTCGAATGTCTCTCGCTAGTGCCGTTTGCGCCCGTGCTTTTCTTACGTCAACCCACCAGAGGCCGCTGTCGGCCGACTTAATGATTGACTCGCCGGCCAATCGACGGACACACTCTCCTCCTCCCCTAAACCCAATTTTACAGATTGACCTGCCCACCCGCTTACTTCCCAAAACCCAACCAACAGTTTACAAAAGCCGTGTAAAAAAGAAAAGCCCTTGTCTGATTTTTACCACATTTTCAGATTTTACCACATTCTCACCCCGTTGTTCACTTGTTCATTTTAGTTTTTGGATTCTGTTTTTGTCTTACCTGCCTTCTGGAACCGCTCTTCCCCGGATACGAACCCGTTTGTCTAACTGGACAAACTGGTTGCAACGGGAAAGCCCTACGGAGGTAGGCGGTCAGTCGATAAGCGCCAAAAGGAACATCGTCAGACCGCCCCATAACGTTCGCTTAAAAAAATGATGTGCAGTCATTCGTACCTCCGGCTACATAATTCGCTGTCTCTAGAAACGTCCACAGGACACTGTTTTCAGAATGAGCCTGTGTTGGCTATATACATTTCTGGAGACCGCCATATACATCCCAGGAGTTACTTTTTTTTTTTTTTTGCAGTTTTTGTTTTCGCGAATCCACCAGAGACCATTGTTTACGCTTTTTGGGATCTCAAATTTCTATCGCGAGTGCTATTTGTGTCTGCTGTTCTTGCGTAAACCCATCAGAGGCCGCTGTCGACTGAATCACCAAGCCACTGACCAACCCTGCTCCTTCCCTAAACCCAACCAATTGTATTGATTGACCCGCCCACCCATTTCCATAAATCCAACTGACAGTTTCAAAAAGTAATGCAGAAAAAAAGCCCTCGTCTGATTTTTACCACGTTTTCAGATTTTACCACATTCTCACCCCGTTATTTACTTGTTTATTTTATTTTTTGGATTCTGTTTTTGTTTTACCCTCTTTCTGGAACCATCCTTCAGTGGACTTGAAACCCAACTCCTCTCAGCATCTCAAGTCCGCTGACGTACATGGCAAGCTAACAGGATGAACTGCTAACAGCAGGTAAGCCGTCCACATGGAGGTAATCGTAAAATGGAAAGATGTCATACCACCCCATATCGTTCACTTTAAAGACAAAATGCAGCCATATGTAGATCTGGCTACATAATTCACGATTTCCAGATACATATATAGGGCTACGTTTTCAGAATGAGCCTATGTTGTCTTTAATCCACATGGAAGTAGAAGGTAGTTTAGAATTATTCCATCTCAAAGTTATACATTTTATGGCTGCTAGTAAGGCTAGCCTTCCAATCTCAGATTAACCCTTTGTTGATCAAGTAGTGGAATAGGTCCCCTTTAAAGTAAAGTGCAAGGATGTATTTAATAAATGTATACCAGCACACCTGATGACATCACCGAGCCGCACACGCAGGTTGTTGCGTGTGACCCTGTTCATGCGCACGCGCTCATTGCCACATGTGTCGTCTGTGAGAACGATGCAGACCGTCTGTCTCCGTTTCCGACCGCGCAAAACCACAGTGTCTCCACGAAACAACTGCAGCTCCTCCATTTTAACCTGGAACACACATACACTCTCTTAAAACATGAACGTGGGAAACAATGTTTACAATTCAGAATAGCTCACTAGCGTCACTGGTGGCCAGAAGGTGTACTGCAGTAGCGTTGACCTTATTTATTCAGTCGTTTTCCTTTGGCTCAGAGGTCGCCACAGCGGAATGAAGTGAACCGCCAACTATTTTAGCAAATGTTTTACGCAGTGGATGCCCTTCCAGCTGCTACCCAGTACTGGGAAACACCCATACACACTCATTCACACACACACACACACACACACACACACACACACACACTCATACACTAAGGCAAATTTAGTTCATGTAATTCACCTGAACTGTGGGGTAAACTGGAGCCACCGTGCCGCCCCTTGACCTTATTTTCAATGAGCATTGTGCTTCTTTTTGCGATTTGATTTAGAGCTTCTGATTTAGTTGCCTATAGGAAAAATGACTAGGGGTAATAAACAGCAGAAAACACTCAAACTACTCGCTCTACAAACAATTGTGTTCATGACTTCTACATAAAAAGTAAAATAAGGTCAATAAACCATAATGATAAATATTTTTTATAATTATTTTGTAGGGGTTTTCACCTTTATTGTGATATGAAAGTGAGGATTTAGAGGCAGGAAAGTATGGGGGGCAGAGATAGGGTAAGGGTCGGCAAAGGACCTCAATTCAGGAATCAAACTTGCATCGCCGTGAACACCTCAGTGTCATGTGTCGACGCACTAACCACAAGGCTTTTGGCGCCGACTACCGTTTTCTTTTTTGATCAGAAGTAGAAATAAGTAAACAAAAAGCTTCCATATAACCTGTTTCTCTTTGACAGTGATTGTCCATAAATAACTTTTAACATCCATAAAGATTAAAACTTATAAAATATAAATGCTTTTTTGTGATCAAATAAACACAAAACCACAAAAGTTTTACGGGTATATTTGTAGGAATACAATACACTTTATGAGTCCAAATTATTGATTTTTATTATATGCCAAAAAAATAATTTGAATATTAAGTAAATATCTTAAAGACATCTCATGATAGTTTCATTAGGACATTTTGTAAGCTTACTGCCATAAATATTCATTCATTCATTTTCTTGTCGGCTTAGTCCCTTTATTAATCCAGGGTCGCCACTGCAGAATGAACCACCAATTTATCCAGCACGTTTTTACTTAGCGGATGCCCTTCTAGTCGCAACCCATCTCTGGGAAACATTCAAACAAACTCATTCACACACTCATACACTATACGGACAATTTAGCCGACCCAATTCACCTGTACTGCATGTCTTTGGACTGTGGGGGAAACCGGAGCACCCGGAGGAAACCCACGCGAACACAGGGAGAACATGCAAACTCCACACAGAAACGCCAACTGAGCCGAGACTCGAACCAGCAACCCAGCGACCTTCTTACTGTGAGGCGACAGCACTACCTACTGCGTCACTGCCTCGCCTGCTATAAATATATATAACCTTAAATACAGATAAGCAATATGATGTTTCTCTTTGTTCTGTTTTTTTTTTAAAGAAAGTGACTCTTATACGCATAACCATCTTTCAAAATAAAAGACCCTGACAAAAATTATTTGTAAATAAAACAAAAAAAATAAATAAAATAAAGAAATAATAATTTATAAATTGGTGTAACAACATACCCTGCAACATATTGATAGCTAAATATCTTAATCTGGACATCTTTAAAGGCCATTTTCTCAACATTTAGTTTTTATTAATATTCAGATTACAATTTTTTTTAGATTGTTGCTTATGACTGTATGGTTCCTCCATGGCAGGGGTGGCCAACCCTCTTCCTGGAGATCTACCTTCCTGCAGATTTCAGTTGCAACCCATATCAAACACACCTGCCTGTAATTATCACGTGGTGTTCAGGTCCTAATTAATTGGTTCAGGTGTGTTTGATATGGGTAGCAACTGAAATCTGCAGGAACAGGTTTGGCCACCCCTGCTCTATGGCATTGGTCTCAAACTCAATTCCCGGATGGCCGCAGCTCTGCATAGTTTATCTCCAACCACCTCCAACTCACACCTGCATAATAGTCTCTAGTAGACTTGAACACCTTGATTAGTTGGATCAGCTGTGTTTGATTAGGGTTAGAGCAAAACTGTCCATAGCTGCGGCCCTCCAGGACTCCAGGTCAATGCTCCACGGCACTGGTTCTCAAACTGTGGTACTTGTAACACTAGTGGTACGCAGGGGAATGAAATATGTCATGTACATGCTACACACATGTAAAAATTCATCAATTTCATCATTCAGCAGACCTCCTCATTCCTGCAGCACGGAAGCTTTATAATTGTTTATGAGCACCAAAAGTGGCAGATCTGTTCGGCGAAATATCTGACTGCGTGTCACCGCATCCCTAAGGACTGTTTGGCGAAATATTTGACTGCATGTCACTGCATAACAAACGACTGAAACAATATAACTAGAGAAATCTCCACTGTGCTGCTGAGCTCACTCCAGATTCTCACTGAACAGCGCTGCAGCGATGACGTAAGCGTGCCGAGGCCCGTTTGTGGTGTGAGCGCAGGCCGTCGGGGGGACAAGCGTGCTTTGGCCCGGTTCGAAGCAACTGTACCTAGTGTGAGTATGGCCTTATATTCATACTTTACATATTAGGGGTCGTACTTGCGCTTTGATGTATTTGTTGCAATAATTAGATGAAATTTCACATGTCAAACGGTAGGGTTCGCGCATGCATTTCAAAATAAAAGTCCGGTATAAGCAAAATAAGTAAAAAACATAACTTATGTTGTTTTTTTGACAACACACTACGTGAACTGCTGAAAATGTTCCCGCGACCCACCAGTTGAGAAACACTGCCATATATGACATATAGCCTATATTTCTGAGGTAATTTGCCACGTTTTTTTTTTTAACTGTGCAGAGGTGTAGCTGTTTTACTGGGCCTACAACGCTATTGTATTGTTTTCAATACTGCTCATTTTGGTGGTACTTGGAGAGACAATTTTTTTCTGAGGTGGTACTTGATGAAAAAAGTTTGAGAACCAATGCTCTACGGCATTACTATGATAATACCTTGAGTTCTAAGAGTGCGACAATATGAATGCACATCTTTGCTTATAACAGTGAATGTTTTCGCTAAATTTAATTTGCCATTCTTCATGACTGAACCTCTTTAAAAACTGACAGATTACCTGCGACAAGCACACGATACTGTTGTCCTCATTGGTGGCTTCATCCACAATGAGCCGATTCGGTCGAATCTTCTGTTTCAAAATAGCAGTGGAGAAATCCTCCGTCTTTGGACTATTCAAAACACACACACACACACACACACACACACACACACACACACACACACACACACACACACACACACACACACACACACACACACACACACACAATAACAACAACATTGCAGAATCTAATTTTCCACAACATTAATAATACACAATGAACTCCACGCATGGCTCTTTATGAAAGCCGAGTCAGCACACGCAAAAGCCTAACACTGCTGTTTTCCTGCTTGTTTCTACAGAAAATGCAATATTTATTATGTGTACACCAGACATATTGTACATCACTGCATTTACTATCATAATAGACTTCATAATGATGACAACAGACCACACAATATCAGAGTAACACTTCACAATGAGCTCCCATAAATAACTGTTTATCACCACTGACATATAGCATTTATTAATGTTCGCTAATGGAAATATTACGTTGTGTTCTCTCAGGTTAATTAAAATAATAACTTTTGATTTAATAACTGATTAGTAAATGCTGACATCAACACAAACATTCATTCATTTTCATTCAGCTTAGTCCCTTATTTATATGGTTGCGACAGCGGAATGAACCACCTACTATTCCGACATGTTTTACTTAACGAATGCTCTTCCAGCCAAGTACTGTAAAACACCCAAACACACTCATTCACACACACACTCATACACTACAGCCAATTTAGTTCATTAGTTCACCTATAACGCATATGTTTGGGCTGTGGGGAAATCCGGAGCATGCGGAGGAAACCCATGCCAACACGGGGAGAACATGCAAACTCCACACAGAAATGAGAACTGTTCCAGCCGGGACTTGAATCAGTAACCTTCTTGCTGTGAGGCAACAGTGCTAACCACTGAGCCACCGTGCCACCTAAATCAAACATAAACAAACTATTTGTCATGTTATGTTCATGTTATGAAATAGGAAATTATGCTAAGTGCTATCAATGCCAATAATGTGAACTAGATAGTAAAGTTCTTAGACAATCTTTATGGTGGCTGGAGAAAGCCTCATCTGAAAGATTGAAGTAGATTTAAAGTTTAAATCACTGAAGTAGTTTAAGATGTTTGAAACTGTTGGAATAGATGAGTACATATAAGTCAGCAAGTTTCTAGTATTGATTGGCATGTTTCTTGCTTAGGCGTTGCTAGGGTGTTCTGAGTGGTTACTAAGGCGTTGCTAGGCAGTTGCTAGGGTGTTCTAGTTGGTTGTTAGGGGGTTGCTAAGGCATTGTTTGGCAGTTCCTAAGGTGTTCCGATTGGTTGCTAGGCGTTTGCTAGAGTGTTCCAGGTGGTTTCTAAGGCGTTGCTAGGCGGTTGCTAGAGTGTTTTAGGTGGTTGCAAGGGTATTCTAGGTAGTTACAAAGGTGTTGTTAGGTTGTTGCTAAGGTGTTCTGAATGGTTGCTATGCAGTTGCAAGGTAATTGTTAGGGTGTTCTGAGTGGTTGCTAAGGTGTTGCTAGGGTGTTCTGAGTGGATTCTAGGTGTTTGCTAAGGTGTTACTGGGTGGTTGCTAAAGGTGTTGCTAGGGTGTTCTTAGTGGTTGCTAAGGTGTTGTTAGGTGGTTTCTAGGGTGTTCTGAGTGGTTGCTAAGGTCTCCTGGTTAGTTACAAAGGAGTTTGGTTGTTGCTAAGGTGTTCTGAATGGTTGCTAGGCAGTTGCTAAGCTATTGCTAGATAGTTGCTAGAGTGTTCTGAGTGGTTGCTAGGTGTTTCCTGAGGTGTTACTAAAGTGGTTGCTGAAGGTGTTGCTAGGGTGTTCTGAGTGGTTGCTAAGTTGTTGCTAGGCGGTTGCTAAGGTGTTACTAGGTGGTTTCTAGGGTGTTCTGGGTGGTTGCTAAGGTGTTACTAGGTGGTTGCTAAGGTGTTGCTAGGCGGTTGCTAAGGTGTTATGAGTGGTTGCTAGGCATTTGCTTACATAAATTAGCATGTTTCTAGCATGAATTAGCATGTTGCTAGCATGCTTCTAGTATAAACTAGCATGTTGTTTTAGTATAAAATTAGTATGAATTAGCATGTTGCTAGAACATTTCTAGTATGCATTTGCACATTGCTAGTATGATTAGTATGCTTGTTAGTATGTTTTAGCATAAATTAGCATGTTGTTAGAATGTTCAATGTAAAGTCAATGGCAGTTTTTTTTACAATGGAAGTCTATGGGACAGTTGCTAGGGTGCCGTAAGTGGTTGCAAGGGTGTGGCTAGTACGTTTAAAGGTCATCAGTGATTGGCAGATTGGTAGTGTGAGTTAAATAAGCCCAACATTAAGTCTTTATGACAGTCTGGCACAAAGTTATGAGGTCACAAAGTTGGGTCCAATGTTAATGGGACTTTCCGGGTCAGTTTTCGGAAAACCGTAAGTCGGATCAGTTGGAAAAGATATAGCCAGTTTGGAGGTCTAGAGTTGATTTGGTGGTTGTGCTATGAACGATCTAGGAGGAGATGCATATAGAAATTAGTCTCAAGACGAATCTTAAGTAGTATAACAGTATATTGGCTTTCTCAAGCCCCCATAATAATATATTCAGCTGGCAATCACCTTGTAATTACCTGTTCCAGAGGCCAACAAAAATAAAAAATGAATTGAAAGTGAATTTATTATAAATTCAACAGATCAACTATAAAAATAATCGATAACAATTAAGAAAATTATAGTCTTCAATCATTTAATGGATAAAAACCCAGTTTATAGTAATGTTTCTCAGTTTTTATGAGAATTAATCATAAAACTTCTTGATCACACTAATGTAAATATAAACACACACACACACACACACACATACACACACACACACACACACACACACACACACACACACACACACACACACACACACTGCAGTCTCCTGTTTCTGCATGTGACACTGGTCTGTTTTTAGAGCAAAGTTATGTCTACTGCTAAGATCAAACTACCCAGACAAACATAAACACAAACACACAACTGCAAACTATTACAAATCAAACGCACTGAAAAAGACACTCACAAACAATCTAATATTCTACAATGAGCTGCCACTACAATATTTAACAGCTAAAGCTTAGCATTTTCGAAAGAGTCTTACACAAATGATCGACAATGCACATAATCTATTGAGATAAATACATATATAACTTTTTTAAATTGCTATTGTTCACTTTATTTTCCGTTTATTTGTTTGTCTTCTTGCTATGTAAAACAATGCTGGGTTCCACACAATTTGTGTTGAGACAGCTTAAGTTACTTAGTAGTTTGTACAAATCTAAGTGGATTGAACACAAAACAATTAAGTTGTCCCTCTGAAAAACTCAAGAATAGTGTTGTTTCAGCTCAATTAAAATAAGTAGTTTGAACGAACAGCGAACGTCATTTGTTTTGAGTGTTTGTATGTACTCTTAAAAACCACAAATAATTGTGTTTTACACATGACTAGCGAATAAGTCTCTCTCTGATTCTAATCAATGCAACACACACAATAACTGAAAATGAAGCATTTATACTCACTCTGAGGCTCCAGAGGCGGGCATGGCTTTCCGTCTGTGAGAGAAAAGAGCCTGTTCTGCTATGGAGATGATCAGAAATCAGCCTATCTGTATGGTAAAGGTCAGAAGTTTGCGATCCAGATCTAGTGTGCAGTCCTCAGTGCAGTGCGGTACAGTGTGACGCTGTCTCTGACCGCAGGCTCCATGCCTAAAAAAATGTGTTTGTGTGTCAGTCTGTGCTGCTCTCTGGACGTCTGAAACCCATCCCCTCGCAACTCAAGAATATCCAGACACAATAACGCCGGTTACATGCACATGCACACTAACAGTGAGTGATTATGAGAGTACGTCATGAGTTTCCCTTTGTTTTTGAAAGCGTTTGACCTCTTTTTTTCCAGCTGGGCATCATGTTTCCCACTCGGATCGTTCCAGACATTCCTCTCTTTCTGCTAACATATGTACACAAACAATATTAGGATTCATCAATGCTTGTCGTCGATGCAGTCATCCGGAGTGTGCTTTTCTGATGCATGCAATCTAAAGACTTTCCATTTCCTGAAAGCTGAATGATACAGAAACAACTGGGGATGGGCGCTCTAGCAGTGCATAAGCTAAAATGTAGACTAGATGTGACAAAAAAAAGGACACTTAGGTTACAATTTGGGTGCTAAATATAAATGTAAATATGAAATATAGCTGCAAGCAGCAATTAAGGGGCCAAGCACTTTTGACCAAAAGGTGGCGCTGCTCCAGAAGTTTTTAAGGACTTTCAGGGCAAGGGGTTGAAGATGCATACCATGTTTTGTAATGATATGTGAATGTGTTGGTAAAATATAGCATTTTTGACCAAAAATCGAAATGGTCGATGCCCAAAATGGCTGACCTGTGAAAATCAGACATCACTCGGCTCGACATGCTCTGGCGGATGTAATGAGAGCAGTTTTATGAGTTTCGGACGAAAGGTTGAGGCGTTATAAACCAAAAAAGCAAGTTTTTTGTATCTCCAGACCACTAGGGGGCAGTGCACCGAAACTCCCTATATAACCTAAAACCCTAGTTGTCATAACACACACCAAGTTTGGTGTGAATCGGTGAATGCGTTACGGAGATATCGTCTCAAGTCCATTTTCGCAAGTTCTATGTTAAATTTGATCGCAAGTTAAACAAAAACGGTTGGTCAAATCAACTTGAATTCCATAACTTTTGGTTGGCATGGTCTGTAGATCATGTGATTCAATTTTGGTGATAATCGGAGAAACGGCCTAGGACGAGTTCGATCAAATAGGTTTTTCGAATAATTTAAAATAGCACGAAAATTTTTTTGACGGAAAATGACGTCATAGGGTCCGTTTAAATCGGGCTGAGCCAAGGAATCAAGGGAAAAAGAATTTTGATTATAGCCCATTCGGTTCAAAAGTTATCATGATAAACATACGTGAAAGTTTGGACAAGTGGTGGCGCTAGAGAGTTTGATTTTGAGACTTCATGTTTGGTCTGATGAATGTTAATACTGGCCTCTATCATTGTGCCAAATTATACAACTTTCCCGCATACGTCTATATGGGCTGCCATTCAAATCCGGCGGAAGAAACGGAAGAAGAACACTAACGAAAGCAATAGGTGCCTACGCACCTACGGTGCTTGGCCCCTAATTAAAACGAAAATTACTTTAATATTCTTCTCCATGTTCCTCTTTTTAAATTTGAATAGCTTTTCACACAATATTTGTCACATTTGCACCAGACACTTTCTTACAATCACTCCATATCTCTATGAAAAACATTGTGCATTTCTGAAGTGCGCATCACACAGGCGAGCGGGCTTGACAAACCACCTGTAGAAACTCTCTTCTCTCCGTATGCACTGCACACTTGACTGTGCAATGTGTAACACAGCACTAAGCGAATGAATCCAGCTGAGGTTTAAATCTTTAAGTGCAGCATGTGTAACAGGATTATTTCGGGTAGATTGATTTCACTATATTTTCCTCCTGTTTACTTACTGTTCATATAAAATTGTTTTGTGTTCACAATATAAATGTAAAAAGAATCTGTAAAGTGACAGTGGTTTCACCTCTTCTCCCCCCCTTGGGTTAACGTCAAGGTGGTATAGTCCAAGCAGCCATACCTGTTGCACTATTGCTCGAGCAGTCTTTTCCACCTTTACCTTGAACTAAGGAGGTATGCTCTACCTGTTCCAAATTGAATTTGGCTCTGGCCATAATTAACACACACAAATGCATATTTAAGTTTAATTTTAATCATTTGTTATATTTACTGATGTAAAAACAGTTTGTTATATTGTAGAGTGTTATTTTTGTTGACGGTGTACATTTAACGTAATGAGCTGAAGCTGCCGATCTGTCACAATAACATTCTCTGTGCAGGTATGCATTTATGATTTTTATTTTGACAATGTAATATGTGGATTGTCAATGTTCACATGCTGATTTTTGTAATTGTGAGAACTAGTTTTCTCTTTCCCTTTCCTGTCTTCGCGTCCTTCCACGGCGCCTCTCGCTCGTTTCCTCCATCTTTCATTCGCCTTTTTTTTCATGTACATTTAATGTAATGAGCTGAAGCTGCCGATCTGTCATAATAGCCCCTTTCACACAGTGATACCGGTAAATATCCGGAAAATTTCCGGAAAGACTTTACCGGTATATTGAAAAAAGCGCTGTTCACACAGGCGAGGACGTTACGGAAATTTTCCAGAAAAGAGCATTCACACATCCATTCCAAAATACCGGTAAATCCTGACATCATTCACCACAAATGAGCTTTAAACGGCTGCGCTTGTATTTGTAAACATTTGACTAAATTACAAACTCTGTGGATGATCAATATTGTGAACAACTTTCGCAGGATCACTTTCGCATGTCGAGATAATGTTCATAATATGTACGTGTGCTGGCGCTCATAGGCGCACGCAAAGCTTGAAGGTAAACAAACAACGGCTTATCATAAGCATCTCATCGATGATTATTTGCACAGTTGGCATTAAGAAGAACATATAAACGTGATCTGACTAACTTCTAGCAGCTAAATGTGTCTGGAAAAATATTCAAAGGCTTTTATTCTCACAAACCGCGCGGACGTAAATGCGTCTGACTGTTGTGATTGGCTAAAGCAGACGTCTCACGTCAGCACGTTCTAGACGTGCACGCGCTTATTACGGCAATCTTCCTTCTGCATTCACACAGCGCAGCATTCCGGCAAATTGCTGGTAATGTTACAACTTCTCTTTCCGGAAAATAGCCAGAACGAATTTACCGGTATTTTCAAAAAGGACCTGTTCACACATACAACCTTTAAAGGTCTGTATGTGTGAAAGGGGCTAATAACATTCTCTGTGCAGACTCAAAATGGTGTCCTTTCGTCATTCACTACACAACGCATAGCAAAAGAGAGTACGGTTACACATGTTTAAAATTATTGATTCTTTAGCAAAATAGTCAACTCAGAGTTGAATAAACGAATCGAGTTTGGTTTGGATCTTTTGCTTGATTGCATCGACACAGTACATCACCAAATATGTAGTTTCAGTTCTGGTAAAATGTGCACACGCTTTAACTTCAGACACTAGCGGAGCACGGGGGATCATGGGACTGATCATGACGTGAAGATGACGATCACTGCGGGGATTCTGCTTGTTAAGTGTGACGTCACGCGAAGCGGCTTCCGGGTCCAAGCGCTCTATTCAACTGAATGGTGAGACTCATGAAATGGTAATAATAAACGTTTACAAAGCGATTTAATGCTTTCGAAAATCACGATCGCAGTTTATATATCCATGCCTAATATCCGATAGCCAGAAAGTGATTTTTTTTTTATAAATTGTTACATTTTTGGTATTTGTTAAGCCCAGAGATTGTTGTGTATGTAACCCCACCAGCCCTACACCACCCAACCCGCTCCGAGCTGGGATCGAACCGGCGACCTTCCGCATGGGAGTCGGTTGCTCTAAAAAGGAGGATAAAGACCATGGCCTCTAGCGTCTGTCGCTAGAGCACCTTTAGAGGTCAGAGGAGTGAGGTTTACCTGCACAGCACCTACTAGCTGGCCTCCGTTACACTCACCCCCCTAAACCTCACTCCCATCCGGGTCATGGCACCAATGTAACCCCGCCGATCCTACTCCACCCAACCCACTCCGAGCTGGGATCGATCCGGTGACCTTCCGCATGGAAGTCGGTTGCTCTAACAAGGAGGCTAAAGACAATGGCCTCTAGCGTGCCTCCGTTACATGTACATTACAATTTTATATAAAATTAACTTTATGTGTGATAGGAATAAAACGCGATCATAAACGAATGATTTCTCCACTCAATTGAATGGCGGCTTGGACCCGGAAACAGTATTACATACGTCACCAACACGTCACCACTTAACAAGCGGATAAAGGGTTAAAGTTCATTTTCACAACAACACCACAGTATAGCCAACCGTGTACCGTGTTTGCTCCTGTCATTTTTCTGACGATTGATACAATACAACCTATGCTGCAACACGGGACTCGCCGGCCGTTTGCTATTGAAGGAGCTGCTGAGACGATGGGACTTTGTAAAAAGTAGATCTGTGGTACCACATTTGATACTACAATCTTGTTAAATCTACACAACCATGAAATTAAGTCAGTCCTGAATGCCAAAAAAGTTTAAACCAGTACTAGCAAGATGTACTTAATAAAGTGAGTTTATTTAACCCTAATGGTGTTTACATTTGAATCCATCTCTTTGTATATATACCACCCTCTGCTGGAGAAAGCGTGAACATTAAATCTCTAACAGTGGTTGTAGCTTTGTTTCTAAAATGACTTCTCTCTTTTATCTAAGCGAGCTCTTTTATGTTTAAAAGACGTCTAATAAATGACCAAACATAGATGTCTTGGCTTAAACCAGGCTAAATTTGCACTGTCAGAGAAAATCTAACAGACGTCTAATGATAAAACCAGAATAGAAGAGTCATCCAATGGACAGAGTTGAATTTAGCTTTCACTCTTAAGAAATACTGAGTTGTTGTAACCCAATGTTAGGTCAAATTTGGATGCATGTTGGGTTAGTTTTTTCAATTGTGGATTAAATTTAAATCGGCAGCTAGCTCTCTGCAACTCTCACATGGTCGCCCACTGAAACTAAGCAGGGCTGCGCCTGATCAGTACCTGGATGGGAGACCACATGGCAAAGCTAGGTTGCTGCCAGAAGTGGTGTTAGTTAGGCCAGCATGGGCGCCCAACCTGCAATCTGTGTGGGTCCTAATGCCCCAGTATAGTGACGGGGACTCTATAATGCTCAGTGAGCGTCGTCTTTCCGATGAGACGTTAAACCGAGGTCCCAACTCTCTGTGGTCGTTTAAAATCCCAGGATGTCCTTCGAAAAAGAGAATTGGAGTTTAACGCCGGCAAATTTTCCCACTGGCCTCTGTCCATCATGGCCTCCTAACACTCCCCATATCATAATTGGCTTCATCACTCTGTCTCCTCTCCACCAATCAGCTGGTGTGCGATCAAAATGGCTGCCGTCGCGTCATCCAGGTGGTTGCAGCACACAGGTGGTGAATAAGGAGATCCCCCCCCATGTGTGTAAAGTGCTTTGAGTGCCCAGAAAAACGATTCGTAAAAATGTAAGGAATTATTATTATTATTTAATGACACCTAAGACAACAACTGGGCTTTGGATTTGACCCAACATGTGTTATGACAATCCAGCATTTTTTAGAAAGTGTTTTAGCCAAGTTTAGACATTTTTACACATCTTTTAAACTCAAATAAATGCTTGCTGGGTATGTTTTGGGGCATTTGTTGATGTGTTTTATAGACAGATTCACTAAAAACAAACTAATTGGTAAGGATTTGTTGACATTCTGTTTTGATTAATAAGTCAGAACAGTAATAGTGCCTTAACAGAAAAAAATGATATTATTAAGCTACATTGAGCTCCAGCGTTTGATATTGCAAGTAGTCTTAAAGGGGACCTATTATGCTCCTTTTTACAAGATGTAAAATGAGTCCTTGATGTCCCTAGAGAGTGTGTGTGAAGCTTTAGCTCAAAATACCACACAAATAAAGTGTATAATTTTTAGAAACTGACCCTCTTTAATCCTAATTGTCCTGTTTTGGTGACTGTTGCTTTAAATTCAAATGAGATTGCACAATTTTTTTAAAGGAGGCGGAGCTACAAATGCCTGTGTATTAAAGCATAATGGCAGGTTCAAAAACAAGACTAACTTCCTTTGCTAATAAGGGAGAGATGGTCACTAGTGTGCAGGGTTTTCCCATAATGTCAATCGAAGTGTTTCTGCAGACTATTTATTAAGTGATTATAAAAAATAAAATGAACAAAGTTTCACCATTTGAGCCTGGCTATATTCACAGACTGCTGACACACCACTGTGCTTAAACCCCTTATAAAAGTGATTGTTTTCATAATAGATGCCCTTTAAGACAATGTCAGACCATAAAAGAACCAGTCAGAGAACTGTGTATTTTAGACAGGGAGTCATCATATAATAAAAAATGAAGATAATATTTTATAAACAAACATACAAAGAAATAAATTAATTGGAGGTGCTACAGTTGTCAGCCAAAACATTCAACTCTGAAATCAAACTGACCTATTGCACAGAATCAGTAACAGTTTCATTTACAGGCGTGATGGATCCATTTGCATGTGCAATAAGTTTAACGATGCAAAACACTAAAGCCAAAGGGCAGATTAACAAACATTAGCATTTCAACATGTCCCGTCCTTCCTCACAAGTCAGTCTTTGTATTTTGTTAAACGGACACTTCCAGTATCATTTGATTGTTTTACACAAATTGTTCCCGACGATATGCAACTACAGTGATTTCTAATGGGTTGACATATATATATATATAGTACAAACGTTGTGCATTTAAGGACATTCAGACACGTTCTACAAATGCTGGTGAAGGAATATCTCCATTGCCTCGCAACTTGGACTTCTATATTGATCCAAATCTATATTTACAAAACGTCTGCCCAGTCATCAATGGTGATATTCCACATGCGGGCCACAATATGGCTGGCAAATCCGAGATTAAAAGAGTCAAATTCACTCGCTTTTAAAGGGAGATCCTACATATCAATCGATTGTGTGCAGGAAGTCTGCATAAACATACACAAACGTCTTTTCTGAAGTAATGAAGCAAGACGCAAAAAACACTGGGAAGAACATTAGATGCTCCAGATCAGAAAGAGAAGACATGTAGTCCATCACTGAAGGAAGACCATTACAAGAAAAAGTTCATCATCCGAGAACAAATTTCCAATCAGAATGTATATCTCCAGAACTGTAGCCGGACTGTTTCTGAGCAAATAAGTATCACTGTGCGCTGTGGAAACACATCCAGTCTTTGTTTGAGGTTACATAGACAATGAAATTCTGCCCTCTAGTGGAGGTTCTGCAGAAGAAATCCACTTCATGAAATGAATTCAGGGTCAAAGGCCACGACCCAAACAGTGGCATCCACTGGAGCAGCATTAACTGCACAAAACAGTCTTTCCACAAAAAAACAACATTATATTTCTCTTTTCAGTCTTCTTAGTCCCCATATACTCCTCTTTCAGCTTAATTCTGTTCATTCCAGTCAGTTTTCGCAGAGACAATATTTGTATTCCAATATCCATGGGATTACGGTTTGAAAATATATATACATTGTACGCATGACTATGTGTGTGAAGTAAATATTGTTCAGTTTTTTAATGCGGTTATATATATGCACACACATTTATACATTTATACACACGCACACATGAGTGTGTGACTTTATCAGCAGAAAGCTTCGTCATCTTGGAAATGTGTTTTCTGTAAAACCTTCACGTGTCTTTCGTAGATCTTGAGGGCGGGGCCAAGTCTGATTGACAAGCCTGTCAGCACATCATTCCTCTGCATTAGAAGAAGGGACTTCCCATCAATCTCCTGTCAGAAACACAGATTCAGACAAGTTTAGAGACACATGTCACCTTAAAGTCTACTTAAAACTCCAAGTATCAAAGCTTTAAATTTTTACCTTGAATTAAAGCACAGATCATTTAATATACCATGCTACAGAGTTGGGCATTTTCATTCATTCGTTTTCTTGTCGGCTTAGTCCCTTTATTAATCTGGGGTCGCCACAGCGGAATGAACCACCAACTTATCCAGCATATGTTTTACGCAGCGGATGCCCTTCCAGCAGCAACCCATCTCTGGGAAACATCCATATACATTCATTCACACTAATACACTACGGACAATTTAGCCTACCCAATTCACCTGTACCGCATGTCTTTGGACAGTGGGGGAAACCGGAGCACCAGGAGGAAACCCACACGATCGCAGGGAGAACATGCAAACTCCACACAGAAACGCCAACTGACCCAGCTGAGGCTCGAACCAGCGACCTTCTTGCTGTGAGGCGACAGCACTACCTACAGCGCCACTGCGTCGCCGAGTTGGGCATTTTACTTCAAATAATTAATTATAGTTATTAGTTACTTCTCACAAAAAGCAAGTAACGGAATTCCATCATTAATGAATCATCATGATCATTAATGACAAACTAACCATAGTCATACTCAGTTAAGTGGTTGTCCCGCCCCTAAACACACATGCCAATCATCATAAGTTATGTGGTTGTCTCACCCCTACACACAAATGCCAATCATCATCAGTTATGTGGTTGTCTCACCCCTACACACACGTCAATCATCATCAGTTTTGTGGTTTTCCAACCTCTTTACACACATCAATCTACATCAGTTAGAGACAAATGAAAAGCACTTGAACTCAATTGCATATTATATATCAATTATATAATCCTGCATTTTCATGTTAGTAATGATAATAGCGTTATAATGGGGGAAATTATTTTATTTATTTGTTTAATTACTCATTACTGAAAAAAGTAATTCAGTTAGTAACACTGTTTATTTATTACGCCATTATTCCCATCACTGGCTACAAATAACTTGTTTTGGGTGTAAACAACAACAAAAACATGTTTATATATAACTCGCTGAATTTAAAAGTGTCTAAAATGCAACACACTTAATGTTAGCTTCATTTGATTTTGTTTAACGGTCAGTCAATTTCACATTTATGATCTTGATCATGCTCATGTGCTGATATTTAAGCTGCATGGGCCACAATACTGTTTTTATAAAGACAGAAGTTTTTTTTTTCCTTTCATATCTTCAATTATAGGATACTTCTCCATTCTTAACAACAATTACAATTCAATCCAAGATAATAAATCTTGCACAGCCCTAATTTCTAACACAACTAAAGCAGGTCCTAAACCTACGATTCCTTAAATGAAATGGTTTAACTTCAGCATCTAGTGATGTGTACATTCTCAGAACAAATCTCAGGACTTCATCTGAGGCGTATGACAGAGTTTGGAAACTTGATATGGTAAAATAACTCCTGCTGGAGCTTTGCAACGGTTTTAGATCGTTTTCATTCTTAACCGGCAATATTATGCAGCAAAAGAAGCTGAAAGTGTAAAAATCCTAAAAATTAGTTTTCATGGTTTTGAAGTTTAGTCAGTTCAGTATACCTGCGTCCTAAAGGCGATCGCCTGCTCTGGAAACCCAGCCGCAGTGAAGTAACTGGCCACGTCTGCCACTGTCCAGTCCACTGGACTCACCACACTGGACTCTGACTTCACAAAGCCTCTGAGAATCACACAAGACATCAATCAGTCTGTATTCATACAGAGAAGACCCATCAGAACGCATAAGATTAAATGTTACTTAAAGACAACCCTCATTCAGTTTTCAATTCGTTCATTATAGTTATGTATGGACTCTTTTTACTAAACTGTTATGATGCGTTTAACAGTCATCAGCATCTTAAATCCTTGAAAGTTTTTAATATTTAATAAAAAACATATACATTTATATGTATTTATGTATGTTTTATATCATCTTTGCATTAAATTACAAAATACTAATTACCGCTTGCTCATACGAGGCGTTTCTAATGCAGCGTCTATAGGCGGGACAGTAAGTTTGACATTGTTTTCTCTTCTGGCTGCCATTATCAGTCTCACACTATGTTTTTTCCTTTTTTCTGAAAGTCTTGATAACACCATGGTGGAGTTTTTCTTTTATTAGTTCAGCAAATAGTATCAACCCAGGCTCTTATTGATATGTACCACTATATACATTTCTGGAGAGCACGAAATACGTCCCAGGAGCTATGTTTTTTTTTTTTTTTTTGCAGTTTTTGTTTTCACGAATCCACCAGAGTATGCTGTGTACGCTTCTTCAGATCTCTAAATTTTCTTGCGAGTGCCATTAGCACCTGCTGTTCTAGTGTAAATTCACCTGAGGCCGCTGTCGACTGACTGAGTGAAAGAAAAGCAATCACGCCCACCTGATTTTTACCACGTTTTTAAATCTTTCAACATCCTCAGCCTGTCACTTATTTAATTTTTTGTGTTTTATTTTTGTTTTACCAGCTTTCGGGAAACATTCTTTGCCAGACTCGAACCCCGTTGCCACGATCAACTCCTTGATGCATTTCAACCACAGGGAGCTACTGAATAATAATAATAATAATAATAATAATAATACCTTTTATTTTTAGGCGCCTTTCAAAGCACTCAAGGACACCTTACAGCAGATCACAAGTACATCATACAAATACAAGCAGTCAAAATGACAATCAGCAAAAAATTAAACAGGCAAATCATTAAAAGCTATCCTAAACAAAAACGTTTTTATCTGAGATTTAAAATTGGAAATAGAGTCCATCTGGCGAATGTGCAAAGGCAGGGAATTCCATAACTTTGGTGCTGTACAACTAAAAGCCCTGCCACCAAATGACTTAAAGTGTGACAGCTGGTAAACTGGTAACAGCGGAAAATTCGCGAGGTAAGCGGTCATGTAGCGCGAGAAAAAAAAACAGAAGCTGTCGGCGGCATCATACCACCCTGTAGTGTTCATTTAACAGCTCTGGCTACATAATTCGCGCTCTCCAGAAATGTATACAGGGCTACATTTTCAAAATGAGCCTGTGTTGAATAGGATTGTAAGAAAAATCCTATTTAGTTTACTACGTTTCCCCAACTATGACGACTTCTACTGCTGAGAAACCCGGAAATGTGAAAAGGGTCCACTCAGCATTGAACTCCATTGTGTTATTAATTGTTTTATTATAAGAAGCACATTATAAAATGCTAAATATATATATATATATATATATATATATATATATATATATATATATATAATTATTAATACAACTCAAGTATTTTCTTCCTATATATTTTTAAATGTTAATAAATTAGGATGCTAACATGGCACCTTTGATGTAATACAGTGTGATTTATTTGTATTCGGTCCCCACTCTCAATCAAATTAGTTTTTGTGGCCTTTCATAAGCACAAGTTTGGGCACCCAAGCTCTAAACAAAGCCTTTTCTCTCTGTGCTGTTTGTATGGTACTCACATTCCTTCATTCATCCCTCGTTCTTCAGCGGCTCCTGGAGAAGCAGAGGGAGTCAGCAGACATGAGGAAACTCCCACCTCCAGCTTACAGCCTGACAGACACACAACACACACAGATAGATCACACACACACACATATAACACAACAAACACAGAGATAAGACAAATAACACACACACACAGTCTGTATGCATGACTAGTGAAGCCACAGTACGCACTGGCACTTTGCTTTCAGTCTGCCAACTGTCCTCGTGATGCAATTATCATTAAACTGTATGTGTGCAGGTCAACTTTTCTGTCTGTGTACAAAAGCACAGACGCGAGGTGAATGTTGAGACTGAAAGACTCTACTCAGGTAATACTGAGCATACAGGTGATTCTAGAACTGAGGGTGCATTGAGGGTGAACTGAGGTTGTGTCTCCAAGATACAGCTATTATTTTTCTTTAATGAATTGATTTTGAATAATAACTCAAATTATATTGAGTTTTCTCTAACAATAATGCTTGTGCGAGTATTTAGGGACTTTTTGTTTTGAAAATATTAACTTAAGGACTATCGATATACCCAACCCAAGCTCATTCTGAAAACGTAGCCCCGCGGACGTTTCTGGAGACCACGATTTATGTGGCTGGAGGTACGTATGGCCGTATTTCGTTTTTTCGAGCAAACGCTACGGGGCGGTGTGATGCCGTTCCTCTTCCTCACGCTCGCTGGCTGTGACGGCTCACCCCCATGTGGAGGGCTTTCCCATCGCAACCAGTTTGTCCGCTTAGCTCGTAGTGTTACATCGACGGAGCAGAGGCACGGAGAAAAAAGGAGCCACCTGCGGTGATGACCAGGTTCGAGTCCGGGGAAGAGCGGTTCCAGAAATCAGGTAAGATGAAAAACAGAATCCAAAAAATAAAAGCGAACAAGTTCGTAATGGTGCAAGAATACGGCGAAATCCGAAAAACGTTTTTTTTCTAGACGGCTTTTGTAAATCATCGCTTGGGTTTAGGGAAGGAGGAGGGTGGCTAGGTCGGCCGATTGGTCAGTCCGTCAGTCGGACAGACGGTTGCTCGACAGCAGCCTCCAGCGGCTTTTCGGGCGAGAACAGCGCTGCGCGAACGATGCGCGCTCCTGAGAGTCGTTCGAAACGCGAAAAAGTGCGGCACAGCAGCCTCTTATATTTGTATTTGTATTTTGTATTCGCGAATACAAAAACTGCACAAATAAGTACCTCTCGGGACGTATTTCGCGGTCTCCAGAAACGCGGGGCTACGTTTCCACAATGAGCCTGGGTTGGCTATACCTATTATTAGACTGTCTCCGCCTCCTGAATCTTACATTTATCCAATAATCAATAATAATTAAGTTTCATTTTCATCCATTTTGTGTTTACCAAGTTAATACTGAGTAACAAAATGTTAGAACAACACTAAACAACAGAAACTAAATGCACTGTGTTTTCCACCACAGCAACCTGGGATGCTGAATTATAATTGGTTAAACTGGCGATGGGCGGAGATCAAACTAAGAGATCAAACAAAGGCAGACATTCTGATTCTGAACGCACATTTTCAAAGGAGACTAATTGACTTTAGCATTGTTTTTCAGATAAACAAACACGTTCATTTAGCATATTTCTGGAATATCTGCAAACATTTTATTCTAGATAAGAGTCAAAAACTTACAGCCCCTTTAGAGGGGACCTATCATGCAAAAATAACTTTTATAAGAAGTTTAAACAGTCGTGTGGCAACAATCTACTGCTTCTAATGGTAAAAATGTATTAAATGTACTTTTTTTAATCACACTTGATAAAATCAGTCTGCACTTTGCGGTTTCTCAAGAACGCAGAGCACGGCTTCCGTTCTTGTGAAGACCGGTCTTGCCAGGTCACCTCAGACGAACGAACTCGAGAAACCGCAAGAACAGAGAACGTGTCCTCTGAGAAATGAGATGCTGCGTTCTTCCTGATGGTCACGTGACCTTCGAGCATTTTAATGGAAGATTATTTAAACATTACAGCATTCATACAGCGATTTATTGCTTTTCCCTTTTTCACAGCATAAAAACATTAGCAATATACGTTGTACAATATAAATAAAACAGATTTTAATACTAATTTCAGCAAATAAACGCCCTTAATGTGTTTATGCCTTTATTAAGATTTTTATGGTGATGTTTATATTCACCGCCTCATTTATTAGGGAAACTCCTGAGATAAATAAGATTATAAATCTGTGTAAAAGGCTGCGCCTTCCATCACCAGTCGCAATGACTTCTGGGACTTCTAGAGCGAGTTTTTTTGCGCTCAAATCTGCATCTATGCGTCCTCAAAATCAAGAACACATCTGGGAAGTTTGTACGTGTCATCAAAGGGGGAAAGCCCTGCCCACTAGTAACAATCTCCCCCTCATTAGCATAGGATGTTAATCTTGTTTTTGAATCTGCCACTATGCTGACACACAGGCGTTTGTGGCTCCGCCCTCTTTTAAAAACAGCACAATTTCATTTGAATTTAAAGCGACAGTCACCAAAATGCCACAGTTAGAATTAAAGCCTAAAAGGAGCAGTTTATAACCATTACCTGTGGGGTATTTTAAGCTAGAGCTTCACATACACACTCTAGGGCAGGGGTGTCAAACTCCTGGAGGGCCTCAGCGCTGCATAGTTCCAACCTTGCTTCAATGCACGTACCAGTAGTTTTCAAACAAGCCCGAAGGACTCAATTACTTCTTCAGGTGTGTTTAATTAGGGTTGGAACTAAACAGTGCAGAGCTGTGGCCCTCCAGGAACGGAGTTTGACACCTGTGCTCGAGGGACATCAGAGATCTTGTAATAAGGGGCAGAATAGGTCCCCCTTTAATAACACAGTAACAAAATGGAGTTATTTTCATAACTTACAGTTTCTTATAGGAATCGATGATGGCGGCTTTACAGTTTCTGACATAACAAGCATCTGATCCTACAAGAAAAAGGGAAACAGGAAAGGGAGGAAAACATAGAGAAAGATACACCATATTAAACAACAGCAAAAGGCAGAACGACAGGATGCAGAATGAAACGTGTGAAGCGGCTATGTGTCACAAAGTCCACCAAACAGAATCAGACAAACTACACATTTTCTGAAACATTTCATCCACCCTTCTTATTTCACTGCTTAAAATGCTTGTGGATTTTTTGTCTAGTTTTAGTCCAAATATCTAAACATTCTTAAATCAAGAAGCATTTTCAAGATAAGCACAAAATATGGTCTTGTTTTAAGAAATGATACGTCAAAATGAAGAGAGTTTTTCTTAAAACAAGCAAAATAATCTGCAAATGTGGTAAGCAAAATAATTTTATGTCAAACGGTAAAACAAGATTATTTTACTTACTCTGCAAAAATGCTTTTCTTGCTTAGATTTTTTTGTCTTGTTTCTAGTCTAAATATCCAAAATTTGTTATATCAAGAAGCATTTTCTAGACAAGCAAAACAAATTGTCATGTTTTAAGAAATAATATGCCAATATTAAGTGAGTTTTTCCTTAAAACAAACAAAATAATCTGCCAATGGGGTAAGCAAAATAATCTTGTTTTTTCTTTTGACGTAAGATTATTTTGCTTACCCCATTGGCAGATTATTTTGCTTTTTTTTAAGGAAAAACTCACTTAATATTGGCGTATTACTTCTCAAAACAAGACAATATGTTTTGCCTTTTTAGAAAATTCATCTTGATTTAGGAATTTTTAGATATTTGGACTAGAAACAAGACAAAAAATCTAAGTAAGAAAAGCATTTTTAGCAGTTTACCGCATTGGAAGATTATGTTGCTTGTTTTAAAGAGCCCCTATTATGAGTTTTTGAGAGTGACCTGTAGTGTGTAACACAGCTCAAAGTGAACTGAAAAATCCAGCTACGTAAATCTGAAAGTGCGCAGTGTTTAAAGCTATTGATTCATTTATAAAAGAGTCGACTCATAGTGCTTCAATTGAATCGTCTTGATAACGAGTCTTTAGCCATTTCGGCGTGACGACTTAAGCCCTTCCTAGTTGTTGCGCACGCAAACCAGGGGAAAATTTAAACCTGCGGCCCCGCCCACAAGCACAGTACACAAAGAAAAGAGGCTAACACACACTGAAGCAGACGCCGGTTGAATCATGAAGATGCGGTGCTTAGCTGGATATCTTTGGAAGTGTGAGGGGAACGTTAGTGCTATTTTCTCTACCCAAAGATGAAACTGTGAAGAGTCAATGGTTGAGGATTATCTTTGCAAAAATACTCTGTAAACAACCCGTAAAATTTACGGTAAAAAAACGGCAGCTGTGGTTGCCAGACTGCAAAAAATGCTTTTCTTACTTAGATTTTTTGTCTTGTTTCTAGTCCAAATATCTAAAAATTCCTAAATCAAGAAGCATTTTCTAGACAAGCAAAACATATTGTCTTGTTTACAGAAATATTATGCCAAAATTAAGTGAGTTTTTCCTTAAAACCCTGCAGAAAAATCCAGCCTAAACCAGCCTAGGCTAGGTTTTAGCTGGTCAACCAGGCTGGTTTTAGAGGGGTTTTGGCCATTTCCAGGCTGGTTTCCAGCCATTTCCAGCCTGGTCTTAGCTGGTCAGGCTGGGAGATGACCAGCTAAAACCAGCTTGACTAGCCTACCCAAGCTGGGAGTCCAGCCAAAACCAGCTATATCCAGCTTAAACCATGCTGGTCAAGCTGGTTTTAGCTGGATTTGGCTGGTCATTTTCCAGCCTGACCAGCTAAGACCAGGCTGGAAATGGCTGGAAACCAGCCTGGAAATGGCCAAAACCCCTCTAAAACCAGCCTGGTCGACCAGCTAAAACCAGCCAACCAGCCTAGGCTGGTTTAAGCTGGATTTTTTAGCAGGGTTGGCATATTATTTCTTAAAACAAGACAGTATTTTTTTGCTTGTCTATAACATGCTTCTCGATTTAAGAATTTTTAGACATTTGGACTAGAAGCAAGACACGAACCTTAAGTCAGACTAGCATATTTTGCAGTGTTACCTCTCTGACTGACATGTCAGAGCAAACAGAGCCGCGCTGTGACAGAGTCAGACTGTTCACACTCTCCCGAATAAAGAGCGAACGGCTCACACGTCTCTGCGCTTTAAACCAGAACAGGCAAAGGAACTCAGATGTTGAAACCTTTAAGGCTTTCAGTAAACTCTGCACCGCCTGTCATTTACCTCCACGCTGGGATGTCGCTGATCAGACGGATCTGCGGGTTTCTCTGTCCCAGAATCCTCAGCTTCAGCACACATTGTCTGCTCTGAAAGAGAGAGAGAGAGAAAGAGAGAGAGAGTTTTAATGCTATCGTTTCTGGTTATGACACAAGATCTCAAACGGAGATAAAGAGGTTTGTTGTGCGTCTGCAGGGAGCTGCTGTCTGTGTTCACACTGATTCAGCGCTGCGCTAAAGACCTGCAAATCCCACACAAGCACTGAACTCCAGCTCTTTTGGCAGAGCGTGCTTTAGGAAATTGTTTTTACAAGCTGTTGGACAATTAATTTTCTACTTGACTAACATATCAAGCAGCAAACGAAAATACTCTGTAAAGCGCCCAAAAATAGGGTTTAAAGGGCATCTATTGTGCAAAAATCACGTTTAGAAAGGGTTTAAACACAGTTGTGTGTCAGCAGTGTGGATATAAGCAGCTTTCAATGGTGAAAATATATTAATTTAATTCTTTATAATTACACCTGATCAAAACAGTCTGCAGATACTCTTTGATTGACATTCTCCTTTTGTACGTGTCATCAAAAGGGGAAAGCCCCGCCCACTAGTGACCATCTCTCCCTTATTAGCATAGGATTTTAGTCTTGTCAAAGAGCTTGGAATCACCAAGAAGTCCGCCGTTTCGAAGTGAAAGCGATCGGCTGTCCATTGGATCTTATGGCAAGCAGCTGCTTTGTTTTTTATTTATTTATTTATTTAAAAAGCGCATTAAAGCTGAGATACAATCTGAAAGACGACAATACAACGCTAACTATCAAAATCATCAGCACTTTTAATAGTTTAGTTTACAGACTTATAATATGCTGTTGTTCTATTGGAGTTTTCATTGCAAAATGGCCGCCGCGCCATCTAGTGGCTGTTTCCCAAATTGCACTAGAGTGTCGCCTCTTGGTGGTTCTATACTCTTTGGTCTTGTCAAAGACTATAGAATACACAAGACGTGTTGCTCGTATATATTTGAATGGGGAAATGTGTAACTGTCAATATGGCTAATGAAGCCCCGCCTTTTAGTGCAGGAGCCAATCAGTTATCGCTATAGAATGACAATTCTCTGGGGGAAGGGCTTGGACCAGATGTGAGTTTCTGCAGATTTTGTGTGATCCGAATATTTAGGAATGAAACTAAATAGATTGTTGATGTTTAATTTCATTGGTTATTCGTAGGCCCACACGGAATCTGCGCGCGCAGAATTCCGCAGATTTCATGCAGATTTTTAGCCCATCATTAATTCTGTTTATTTACTCGACTAAATGTGTAAATCTAAATTTATTCAGTTTTTATTCAGTAATTTATTACTTTTTATTTAATTTATTAAGGTTTTAGTTATGATACTCCGCCGGATACTCCCAAAATAATTTGCAGAAACTCACAGATTTTTACCAAATTTCTCCACAGAAATAGCAAAAAATGTCTGCAGATTCCGCCTGGCCCTGGTTATTCATAATATGGAATTTAATCGTAAGCTTGGCTAGAAGTTTTAGAAAATTTGATGTTTCCCCATTGAAATAGAATGCCCGGGCATACTGCCTGAGAGGCGTTTCAAAGATGGCCGCCGAGTGAAATGACTTGCCTTAAAGGGAATTTTGTCTTGTGTTTGAATCTGCCACTATGCTGACACATAGGCATTTGTAGCTCGGCCCTCTTTTAAAAAGAGCATAATCTCATTTGAATTTAAAGTGACAGTCCCTAAATCGGCTTGATTAGAATCAAAACCTAAAAGCGTCAGTTTCAGAGAGTTATATTATGTTATTTTATGTGCTATTTTGAGCTGAAACTTCACATACACACTCTTTGGGACATCAGAGACTTATTTTACATCTGGTTAAAGGGGGCATAATAGGCATACCTGCCAACACTCCTGTTTTTCCCGGAAGTCTCCCGTATTTCAAACCCATCTACCGCCCATCTCCCGTATTGTTGTCTCCTAGAAATACCCTCCCACCGCACTTTGCGCGCACCCCCGGATAAAATCTCCCAGACACTATTGCCAACTATTTTCAACGAAAAGGAGCTAAGCTCAGCCTGAAAATTCACTAAAAGTTGCTAGATTACGTCATACGTTAATTTGCATATTACTGACGTCATCATGTCCTGCCATTTCTGTTTGTTAAACAGCCTTTGGGTTCGGTCAATAAAGGGGTATTTATATTAACACTACTCTTTACGCAAGCATGTCAATTCAACTAAATGTATTGCTGTTTAAATACAGTATTTCATTATAGATGTGAAGTCAATTTGCAGTAATCTCTCAGACGTAATAAACTCAGATAAGTTTTGAAACTCTCATCTAAAACATCTGTGATTGTGAACAAGAAAATAATAAACGGTCAAATTAAATTGTTGAAATAAAGGAGAAGCAGATCGGATTGACTGTACAAGGAAAAACTTTCACACTGCCGGTGCTAAATCATTTGCCGTCGGTACGCAGAGGGGTGATCTGCTCTCGGGCTGCAGGTGGGAGAGAGACTGCTGTACGAGGATGTTAAGAAGAGTAGAGACGGTACAGTATAGACAAATGACAGTCTATAAAAATCTCCAGTAACACAAAAAAGTCGCTAGATTTGTTGCTAGTCGCTTTTTAAAAAATTTGTCGCTGGGGGGGTCTGAAAAGTCGCTAAATCTAGCGACAAAGTCACTAAGTTGGCAACATTGCTCCCGGATTTTATGATCCGAATGTTGGCATGTATGATAATAGGTCCACTTTAAAACTTCTGCATTCAGAAATACCCTTTACTTGCACATGGAACACTTTTGCATCAGCTAGAAATGATTATGCAGCATCTTCAGCTATAATTCCTTCTGGGTCAAGTGATGTCCAAAGCATTAAAGAGGAAGTTTACCCAGAAATTGAATCACTGTCATCATTTACTCACTCTTTCATTCTTCTGTTGAGCAAAAAAAAAAGATATTTTAAAAAATGTGGCTTGATTTCTAAAGTACTTTAGAAGTCATTAGGTACCATAAACCAGCATTTTTTATCACACAAACTCTTCTCTTGTCTTAAACCAGGAGTCAGGAACCTTTTTCAGCAAAAATTTCAATTTTTTTTTTTTTTAACAAGTGCAGTTTTTAAAGAGCCATTTGGATGTTTACACAGTTGAGGTCAGAATTATTCGCCCCCCTTAGAATTTTTCTTTCTTTTTTAAAAATTTCCCAAATGATGTTGAATAGAGCAAGGAAATGTTCACAGTATGTCTGATATTTTTTTCTTTTGGAGTAAGTCTTATTTGTTTTATTTCGACTAGAATAAAATAAGTTTTTAACCAGCTATGTCCAGCTAAAACCAGGCAGGTCAAGCTGGTTTTAGCTGGTCACTTTCCAGCCTGACCAGCTAAGACCAGACTGGAAATGGCTGGAAACCAGCCTGAAAATGGCCAAAACCCCTCTAAAACCAGGCTGGTCAACCAGCTAAAACCAGCCAACCATCTGAGGCTGGTTTAAGCTGGACTTTTCACAACCCGGGCTCATTGTGGAAACGTAGCCCCGCGGACGTTTCTGTGGACCACGAGATACGTCCCGTGAGGTACGTATTCGAGGGGTTTTTGTTTTCGTTGATCCGCGAGAGGCCGCTGTGCGCGCTTTTTCGCATCTCGAGCGCCTCTCGGGAGCACGCGCCGTTCGCGCCCGCGCTGTTCTCGCGCGAAAAGCCGCCGGATCTGCCGACCCGACCGCCCTCTTCCTCCTCCCTTCCCTAAACCCAAGCGACGGTTTGCAAAAGCCGTCAAAAAAAAAAAAAGCAAAAGCCCTCGTCTTCGATTTCGACCGCGTTTTTGGATCTCGCCGCGTTCTCGCCCTTATTTTTTGGATTCTGTTTTTCACCTTACCTGATTTCTGAAACCGCTGTTCCCCGGACTCGATCCCGGTCGTCCCCGCGGCCGGCTCCTCCTCCTCCGGGCCTCCGCTCCGCCGACGTAACGCTGTGAGCTAAGCGGACAAACTGGTTGCATCGGGAAAGCCCTCCATTCGGAGGCGAGCTGTCGGCCGCCGAGCGCGAAGAGGAGGAGCGGAGCGGCGCCACACCGCGTTCGCTCGAAAAAAACTAAACGCGGCCGTACGTACCTCCGGCCACGTAAATCGCGGTCTCCAGAAATGTCCGCGGGGCTACGTTTCCAGAATGAGCTTGGGTTGACTTTTCAGCTGGGAAATACTTATTAATTCTAAAAAATAAAAAAAATGGCATTTTCTTGACAATTAAAACATATTATCTTTGTTTTCATAATTAATTAGTTAAAATTAAGTGAGTTTTTCCTTAAAACAAACTAAAGAATCTAACAATGGGGTCAGCAAAATAATCTTGATTTTCCTTTTGACATATTCATTTGCTTACCCCATTGGCAGATTCTTATGCTGTAAAAACTTACTTCATTTTGACATATTATTTCTGAAAACAAGACTATTGTTTTTACTTGTCTAGAAAATGCATTTGACCTTAAACTTTTTTGATATGTGGACTAGAAACAAGACAAACATCCAAATAAGAAAGGCATTTTTGCTTTGCATTCATTCTTTAGTACTGAATGCATAAAACAGATCCTATTATGGAACAAACACACAGCACCTCCAGAAAGTCCCCATAATCATCCTCCTGTGCTTTAAAATATTGAATGAGTTGCTCACAGGTATGTCTGGCAATTTTAAAGTTCCACTCCATAATCCAGAAGGGCTTCCCCGGTGGATAAACCATTGTCTGAGTTTATTAAGAAGTCGGAGCAAAACTATTTGTAGAATTTATCATCGACGGGAAAGTCTGTTTGGATCAACACTTTATTCAGTGTGCAGCGCTCTGTTCCACTTCCTGTCATTTCAGTTCAACTTCCTGTAAAGTGTGGCTAGCTTCATTCTAATTTAAATGGAGTATACATGTTCAAATCTTTAAGTGTGTAGAAGCTTATAAAAAGCATATTAAAGAGATAATCCACCTGATGAGAGATCATTTAAACAATAAAGAAGATATTTTGAAGAATGCTAGAGGAAAATCAGCCAGTTACAACCACAGCATTTTTATTCATTCATTTTCCTTCTGCTCAGAGGTCCCCACAGCGGAATGAATCACCACCTATTCTAGCATATGTTTTACGCGGCGGAAGCCCTTCCAGCTGCAACCCATCACTGGGAAACACCTATACATTCACACATTCATACACTACGGACAATTTCCCTGCTGAAAAGTCCAGCTTAAACCAGCCTAGGATGGTTGGCTGGTTTTAGCTGGTCGACCAGCCTAAAGTTTTTGAGTTATTGCCGTCTATAACTGAATGTGTGTCAGGAATATCGAAAACAAAACCAACTGAAGCGCGCTCATTTCAGGCGCCCCCTGGATATACAACACCCTTAGCATATGCCTATGGTGCCTATGCCACGGGCCGGCCCTGAGTTGGCTGAGTGTTGTAAATACTCGCGCTCACCTCCCTCGCGACAGAGCGCATAGGAGATAAATGACGTCAGTACATAATAACTGGTTATGATTATTACTGAACCGATACAGAATTGTCCGCGTCTGCATCACGGTGCACCGAAGAAACAATTAATCTTGACACCCCTATTAGTTAATGTTAATTAATGCATTAACTAACATGAACAAACAATGAGCAATACATTTACTACAGTATTTGTTCATGTTAGTTGACGTTAGTTAATGAAAATACAGTAGTTCATTGTTAGTTCATGTTAACTCATGGTGCATTAACTAATGTCAACAAGCATGGACTTGAATGTTAATAATGCATTAGTAAATGTTCAGTTATGATTAATAAATGCTGCACATGTGTTGTTCATGATTACTTCATGTTAGTAAATGCATTAACTTATGAACCTTATTGTAAAGTGTTACCCAAATAATAAACCCATCAAACAAAACAAGATGTTTTCCACCATGAGAAGCAGCAATACCTTGACTTTCGCCCACGTCTGCCTGCTGCAGTATGGAGCAGTGGTTTGACAGCTGCAGAGATGATGAAGTCTGGGATTCCCCTTCACATGTCATCATGGGCGATCTGGTGGCATGATCAGACTCGGCCTCCATCTCGGGTGACGGCGGCTCAGTGCCTGTTTTCACACTGACGGGATCTTCATCAGGGACGGTTTCGGGGAGATCCTCCGCTGTCGGCTCCTCTGTGCCGTTTCCCTCACTCTCCACCTCCATCCCATCTTCATCCTTCAGCTCTTCCTGACAACACAAGCAGAGAAACACCATTTC